AGTGTAGAATTGGAGCGGTTTTCAATCGGGTGTCGAAATAGTCGGAATAAAATCTGAATTTGCATTTTCTTGTTAACTTCTCTCTGTAAGTAGTCCACGAAACTCAAGTCACCGCCATTCAGCCATGTTTCTGTCATCTCTCAGAGTTCTCACTGTTCTCTTTGAGATATTTTTCATCGTTGTGACTGGCTTTTGTGACGACTTCGTTTTGGTTTTATGACACTCAATCGAAAAGAGCTCTAATTAACAAATAGACCATGTATAGAACTGCAGTTGTAATTTTAAAAGCACTTTGCATCTCTCATACTCAAAGAAGGTTGTCGCAACCATTGTCAGCAGCCATCTCCAGGTCGCTTGTTTGGTCTCTTGTTAATAGCTTGGTTAACGGGACTTTAGTTCAATTCTTTGTCTCGTTTATTTCTGTGATATGTGTTCGAGAAATTTTAAATTGAATGTCGAAGGTAAACCTGGATTGCATTGGTTTGCTTTGCCACGCTCTGTGATTGGTCCAGAAAACTCACACCACTCTCTCAACCAATCAGATGAAAAGCAAAACCAACCGCGTCCCGGCCTTTCGTTTTTTCCCGCGCATTTTTTTCTTGGTAGTACTTATTTTCTCCTTGTGAGGTTAGCCTGTGTCCTAATTACCTGTTGGGATTATTTTGTTTATGGTTCTTACGCACTTAATCCGAGAGCGCTTGAAAGCTAAGGCTCTCATACTTGCTGAATTCTTTTTCTTTTCACAGACCATCACTATGGCAGGGCCGTTATTATGTTTGGAATTCCATATGTTTACACTCAAAGTAGAATCCTAAAGGTCAGTGACAGGAACTTGTCGCATTTTAAAATTTTCGTTCTCCATTTTTACTTCCAAGCTAAACAGATCGCATTATTAAACTATGAATTTTGGACTCAAATAATGGTGTTATATTTGATATGATCCACTAGTGTCTAAGTTACAGTGAAACAGCCACATCTTAATTCATTCGGATCGGCTCGTTTAATATGATATGTATTTGTTAATAGGCGCGCCTTGAGTACCTCAGAGACCAGTTCAACATCAGAGAAAATGATTTCCTTACTTTCGATGCAATGAGACATGCTGCTCAGGTAGGAATCAAACAAAAAATAATTATCGCCTTCTACGACATATTCAGGTACCATTTAACTTCGAGAAAGTCAAGCAATAAAAATCGCCAACGTTCCATGCACGGTAGAGGCGGTTGTCAGCGAAACGGCTGCTGACCGCCTGCCGTTCTCTGCGCCCCCGTTTTAACGAACCGAGATCCTGGAACGAGCTAAATTGCATGTGCAGTAGATTACTGCAATTATCCTGATCCATGAAAATCGAACGCTTGACTCATTTGCAAGACTTCAGCGATAAGTTTTTCTTATGGTTATACAAAGATCAGTTCAATCACCTCTATGCGGTAAAAAATAATTTGATTTTGATAGAAAGATTCTGTCTTTAATTTTGGTTTGTAGAGGGTGGAATTGATGTATCGCATTAAACTGTTGTATTTCTTTGTTACTTTGGTACACTTATCTTTCATTTGCTTCTCTGATCTCTCAGTGTGTTGGCCGAGCCATCAGAGGAAAAACAGACTACGGCATCATGGTGTTTGCTGACAAGGTATGGGCTAGAAGCTAATTTTTGAACTTCACGTGCCTTTTCCTCTCAGGTTTCCAGTCCTCTTCTCTGCATGAAAGGTACCATGTTACTCTCTGTTTCTCTGACAATGTGGCTGAAAATTATTTTATTACTGTTATTATTATTACTATTATTATTATTATAGTTATCATTATGTACTATTCATTTTTTGCAGAGATTTTTCAAAGTTGACAAAAGGGGAAAACTTCCCAAATGGATTCAGGTAAATTAAAGAAGAAACTTCATGAAATAGGGTTTAGATGTTACGACAGAATTGGTCAACAATCCTTTTGAAATTTATTCTTGCATTAAATGCTGTCTGAAGCAATTAAGAAGTGTCGAAAATAAACCATGATTGCTTCTGTTTTGCTCGCGCCATTTTTCATGGGACAAAGGTAAAAATCTTAACACCCCCCCCCCCCCAAGTAAAAATCTTAACGTTCCCCCGTCCCTCCCCACTAGAATCGGAGCCCGAATCCAGGTCAAAGCTTTTTGAATACTTCAAGGCTAATTCCCTTTGACTGTATTGCAGGAGTACTTGAAGGAAGGAGTGTGCAATGTGTCTATCGATGAAGCAGTCCAGGTAGGGATGTGTACTGTTTGAAATATTTTAACAACCTTAATTTTTGTGTAGGCGTGTTTTTTAAGGCGAGCGGAGGCGACCACGAAGGTCCTTGATCAATAAATTAGGTCGCCCTATGTGCAGAGAACTGAAGTTATTATTTCTTTTTACTAGATCAGTAAGAGATTCTTGAGGCAGATGGCGCAACCGTTCGATCAGGTAATGTGGGAGTTTACAAAGGACGACGGCGACACCGTAAACAACGTAGATTAAACATTGAACTTATATGTTACCTACGAATCTCGCGATACTCTAAATTCATTTAGTTTGTTTCTCATTGTCAAAACTATCTTGAAACTGAATAGGGAACACAGCGTTAAATTAGAAATAGAAATTAAATAAATCAGCCGTCGTAGTTCACGATCTCATGGCAACGTAGAGTTTGGTCATTTCACGTTGTTGTTTTGCGGAGGGCGCCAAGAAATTTACACAGATTTATAACGCACGTGCACGGCAACTGTTCTCCTCATTAAACTTTTTGTTTAGTGACGTTCCCGTTGCTGTTGCCGTCGTGGTTTTCTTAAACTCCCTATCGTCTTTTCCTAAAACCTAGAACGTATGGCGCTCGATGCAGCTAGTGAACTATATATTTTCACGGTTCTCTTACGAAAAGCATTCCTGTGCGAAAACTTAAATATTTGAATGTGATGAGTAATAATCCAATCTTTTTCGATTATTCAAAGTTATTATTCAATAATTAGTGCAGCTTTCTTAAGAGTTTGATAGAAACGAGTAAGGCTTTTATAAAAGGCGGGAGCCCCATCGAAGGTTATTTCTTATACGAACCACAAAGGAAGGGACAATTGCACTAAATAGGAGAAGACAAAGTCGAGTTTTTCTGCGTTTCGTGCACGCTATTGGCGCTTCCCAAAAACAGAGCAAGGTCAAGACTTCTTTGTATGTAACCTACGTTAATATGCAATTGTGCTGTTGCGAAGACTTATACGTCCCCCATAGTTGATTGACTGTTTCTTTTCCCTTCAATCACAGGAGGATCAGCTTGGCCTCTCGCTTCTCACTGTTGAGCAAGTGGAGTCTGAGGAGTTCCAGAAAAGAATACTTCAATCAGCCGTTGCATGATTGGTTAAGAAAGTAGACCTACTTAAAGCTTAAGGCTGGTGTTTAAACGTAGACCATCACATTACTCCGTAAGTAGATCACGGTAGAGATATTTTCGCGAAGTGAGGTAGCACCAGAAAAAGATTACAGAGGGGATACTTAAAGATCTAAGGTTTGTCTGTTGCAATTCGACAGGGCCTAAAAAAACTCCCCAGGAAGTTAACACCATTTATAATTTTTCAAATTAAACAGGAAATTTGAAGTTTTCTTTCTGCCGGCCTTGTACTTGGAATTAAGCAGCCAACAGTGAGCAAACGTCTTCCAACAAGACATGTATTGTGTTAACTTACATGGTTGCGTTTATACTTTTTCCAGTAGCCATTTTTTGTTTTTGTTTTTTGGCCCTCTATAGAAAAGGTGGCAATTCATTCCGTTTGTAGTTTAAGTTTGTGTTAGAATCGTCAAACCTCGTTTTGTTGTTAGTATGGCTCTAATTGTATGTACATATTTATGGACTCGTCTTTGGTCTGATATCGAAATATGGATCATTATGTAACTTTGATATGTAAAGAAAATAAAAGTATTTTGTTTTAACCACATTATGATGACGTCTGTGATCTTTTACTAAGCAGACACGGCAGTACGGAGTCTTTTTGATAGATAAACTATGTAAATAAAGAAATTCCGTGTCTCTGAACAACCTCACTTTCAAAAGGAGGCCAATTGCTGAACGTTTCTTGTGAAAATGAGGTTTGTCTCTTTGATAAAAGAAAAATAAAATAATTTTCATATCAAAGCTTTGTACTTGGCCTCGTTTTAAAATAGAGGCTTAGATTATCGTGAGAGTGGCTTTTTCTGCCGTCTCTTTATTAGATTCATATCATTTCATTTGTCTGGCACCTTCTCTTCTCATGTGGGCGAAAAGACCATTGCAACCATTGTATTTATCGGAGACAAACCTATGACAGATCATCCCAAGTCCTGAGTAGATTTCATCTGTATTGTTTTGCCAATTAATCGCTGAAAATTATATATTGCTGCAAGCACTTTGGATCTCTAGTAATTTTGATTTTTAATGATCGTGGTTAATTTCCCAGGGAGGGGGGGAGATTCTCGAGTTACACCAGTTTTTCTTTCAAAAATATTCTTCTTGCATAGTACGTTAATTTCTTGCTGGAAAATAATTTCCTCTTTCTCTCCGTATGAAGTTGATTTTCTCAAACGCAAGGTAGGAAGGGTTTTGCATGGATTATTTTTCCTCTGCGCCTTTTATTATCCTTGAATTTTCTTCATGCCCCTCCGCCCACAGTTTTTTGGTGCGTGCCATACACCGTGACTCGGGCAACCTTGCTTTCCTCGTTGAGGTTGCGTGTTTACCCTGTAAACACTTGACAACCACGCAACTTCGACAAACACGTGGCAAACTCCAGATTACGGTTTTTATGCGACATTTAGCTATCAAATAATTTATTTTTGGCCACAAATTTACTTGCTCGTTTTCAAGCACTTTCAACTGCTTTCTAAGGGTGTAAATAACATCCTATTTCCGCATACGACCATTCCGCGTCACGAAAGTACTAGAGAGAGTTTCTCGAATTTATTTCATCAGCTTGATCTGTGATTGGCTACTGAGCGACTGCGTCCCGTTGTCACTCGGCTCGATTGAGGACAGCTCGAGGCGTCTGCGAGGTCGATGAACGAACGCAATCATCGCTTTAATTTGTATTTTGGCGCTCTAGAGGGTGAATTTAACGATGTCAGACTCTGGCAACTTTCATGATCAAGAAGAAGAATCTGAAACAGCGGTAAGAATAATTCCTATTAAGACTGTCGTGCTTAAGTTCTCAAATATGAATTGAATAACAGTCTTTCAAAATTTCAAGTGTTTTTATACAGGGATACTGTCAATTTTATTATTTCAGGTTAATACGGCTAAGCGAAGAGGGAGAGGAAGGAAGAGAACTCCTTCAAAATTTACTTCAAAGGTAACACGATCTTTTAAACGGTTTCTCTGGTAGTTTCCGTTGTAGCGCATTGTATTGCATATTTGTTTACAATAGTGGCTGCGACTTGGTCGCGGTGGAGTTAGTTTGTCCGCGGATTTCCTTTTGAACGCGCACTGACCTAACAAGCTCTCTGTAATTCGCTCGGTATCAGTGGCAAAAGTTCTTTGATTTTCAATTTCAGGTGACAGTCGAACAAATAGACACCTAAAATTTCTATTAGAGGAAAATTGATGACAAGCCACATCCTGGTCAAAATAAATAGGTTTAGTTGTGACATGTAGAAAGTTCGTCCCATCAGAGCTATAGATAAAAGAGATAATATAAGTAGTTTATTTGTAATAACTTTGCTATTAATCATTTGAATGACACGATTATTACAAAGGATAATATCAATAATAACAATAAAAAGAACTATTAGTGGTTTAAAGCAAGTTTGTTTTAAAAATTTGTCTGTCATCTGTTGCGTTTGTAAATGAAATATGTCTGTCATCTGTTGCGTTTGTAAATGAAATATGTCGATTAATGACAAGAGTAGGTTTCGCCATACAAGGTGTTCACTGATTAAAAATACTGGAATCGCAGTGCATGCATGAGTTAGATATACATATTTTACCAAATGTTTTACCAAGTCTTCCCTCCGGTCCACTAGCTAACCTAAACCTTCCCCACGTGAAGAAAGAGCCAAAAAGAGTTTGTAGGTTTGGCTAGTGGAGGCACAACCCTTTTTCTCTGAAGTGCCCCATGTGCACACCACAATCATAGCATTTTGTTTAGCCACTGTAAAACGAAGAGCCACTTCTGGATTTAACAACATGGCAAATTTACCCCTCATGAATGGCTTTTTCCTTCAAGCAATTGTGCAGAAATTAAGTTTAACTTCAGGCCTAAATAATAAACTTTGCACAAAAAGATTTAATAGCCAGAATATTTCATGACTGCTGAGGCTTTAAATTAAATTTTAAATTTTTCTGCTTATATTATCCCTGCTACAGTATGCGTGAAGATAACATTTTTATACTTATAATTTCATGATGTATTGTCCATATATATCAAACCAAAAGCATACATTGTGGAGGTGTGGTAGCCTCATAGTTAGTGCACTTGACTCTGAATTGGGTGGTCCAGGTTTGAGCCCTGGCCAGGGTCATTGTGTTGTGTTCTTAGGCAAGACACTTTACTCTCACAGTGCTTCTCTTCACTCAGGTGTACAAATGGGTATCAGCAAATGTGCTGGGGGTAACCCTGCGATGGACTAGCACCCCATCCAGGGGGGAGTAGCAATACTCCTAGCCGCTTCATGCTAAGAAACTGGAGCTAAGCACCGGCCCCATGGGCCACTTGGGCCTGTACAAAGGCTTACTTAAAAACATACATTACAAACTTCTGATGAAAACTTATCCCTGCAACCTCTCCATCTTTTTTTCTTTTAAGAGCAAAAAGTCAAAGCAAAATAATGGAGAAAGCAAGGATGTCTTGGTAAGCATGATGACTACTTCTTTTGTTTGATAGGAGGGGTGCTTATCTGAAAGGGGGTGTGGATTGAAAGAAAAATGCTACGATTAGTTCAAGGACTTATCCCTTTCTCTCTTGGATCTCATTAATAATTCTCCTTACTGTCTGTCATATAGTTCTTCTGATGTTAGTGAGGAGAATTGGGTATTGGATCAACCAGTAATCCCCTTGATATTGGGTTGATTTAATCTTGGTCACCCATGCCAGTTCAAGGGTTATTGTATTAAAAAATTGGGAAATCCAATTTTTTTGTCCCGCAGAAGTACATGGATACAATTGTTGCCATGCCATACCACTGAGATCATGTGAGAGATATCCTAACACTACAACTTGCTAGGATATGATTATCAGTGCAATGCTTTTGTAGTACCCTTGCAGTATGAAGTGTTTTCATCTTGTATTTCAATTATAAAGATCTTTTTTTAATCATGAATTACTAAACCCACTTTGCTGCTTATCACTTTAAGGTGCACACAGAAAACCTTAGCTTCACTGGCTGGGCCAATTAAGATATTGGATGTCGGTGCAATCCTTTTCTCTGTTATAATTAAGTTGATTAAATTATGTCAATTTCTAGTGATGTTGATTGACAAGCATGATTAACAAAGAATCTGTTTACTGACCAAAAGCAGGCTGCAAGCAATTCTTATTAGAGCAAAGTTGGTGAGATTAGGCCCCATCCTAGCCTTCCAGATCTTTGTTTTACTTGAAATTATCAACATATTTTTGTCCCCTCTACTTATGGGAAGTAATATCTTGCATCTTTAAAATGGCTGATGAAAATGTTCCTGTGCAGGTGACACCTCCATATACTGTGGCTCAACCTCCACATACAGTGCCTCAGCTACCGCAGATTGTTACAAACCCTTCACTGCCAGCATCTCAGCAGGCTAATTTATTACCTCATCTTATGCATATCACTCCTCAGCATGCAAAAACAGTTCCACAGCATTCACAGGCAGATCCACAGCCTTCAAATGTGGTATCTGAGCATCTGCGTACAGCTCTTGGTATCCCACCTTCAGAAACTCCAGGGGCAAGACCTCAGCCACCATATCCAGTACATACACACATAAATGCAGTAACCCAGCCTCAGCTTCTGAGTACAGTACCACAGCCACAGCACACAGTCCCTCAGCATCTGACAACGGGACTACTGTCCCCACCCACAGTACCTCAACCACTAGAATCTGGACTTCAGACCCCAAATACAGTACCACAGCATCTACAAACTAGGCTTCAGTCCCCACAAATCTTAACACAGCATTCAAATACCGTACCTCAGCCTGTAGTTCATCAAGCTCCTTGTGCTGTTCCACAGCATTCACAAGTGCCACATCTGTCTCCAGCTCATGGATCTATTGAAGGAGTAACACCACTTCCAACCTTTTTCCAATTTACTTTGCCTTCCAATCTGTATACTTCACCAGTGATTAACAGTGCTCTGCAAACTCCTCTTCAACAAGGTGTTCCTTCTGCCTTGACAGCCCCTCATTCATCCACCATGAGTATGCTTAGTGCTCTCCAGGATGACAAACTATCCTTGATCCTTCCAGTATTAGTGAGAATGGAGCATAAGATAGATCAGATTATGGCGATGATTGGAGCTAAATCAGCTGCTGGAGGAAATGGGCTGCAAATTGGAAACCAGTTGAATATGGCATTGATGGGAAATCAATCAAGTGTCCCAATGTCTGAAAGCCAGCCAACTGCCACGGTGGCTGACAACCAAACACGTGCAACCTCAGCACAGAAAAGCCACCAGCCAAACCAATCAAGTTTCCCTGGGATGGTAAAGCATTCAAACCCAGCTACAAGAGAAACCCAAAATAGGGCTGCAATGCTAAAGCAACCGAATGCAAAAATAATGAACACCAATCAGTCAAATAATATACCGGCAGCAACACCACTGAACACTCCTCTGCGACCCACCCTAACAAACAATACAGACAATGGATCTGCCTCTCATTCCACAGATATAGAGGCCCCATCTAATGCTACTTCAGCGGAAGCCCATATGATTAATACTACGCCCGACAACGAGGAAAAGGTAGATTTTGAGATGGAATGCCAAGGAAGCGGTCTTAAACCACTACAATCAGGACCTTTCGACGTCTCAAAGTCACTTCGTGGGATCTCAGCTCGTCAACGAATACAGCTTGAAATGGCTAAAATAACCGAACAGACGTTACCGGAAGATTTAGACTTTCCCATATCACGTGACAACCTCATTGCCCTGCAGGTGAAGTCAAATTCCACAATGAATTTCGCTGTCCGATTGTTACGCGAGCTCTTCACGCCAGACGAACTATACGGCAGAAACATTTCTGGGGTCCGAGGAAAAGACCAAGTTGACCCCACCAGGGTAGAAATGATCAAGGACATATTGTTTAAAATTTATCGCACATCACCGGCAGACAAAGAACTACTGTGGAGGTACTGTCGTAAGGCGATGGATTCATTTTTACGGAAGATGCACCGCCCAGATCTCGTAGAAGAACAGAAATAAAACAAATCAACCTCACGCAACGATATGCAGTCATTTTCGTCGGAAAATACTTACTTAGAAATAATACAGTACAACAATTTTTGGATACGTATACGCTTCAGCTTGGCATACGTATTTTGGGTCTCTTTTGTATAGACCTAGAGCAATCTTCAGATAAGTGTCAATGGTATGACGCGGTTTCGGCGATTTCGTTTGTTTTGCTTCTCTTCGCACTCTTATTGGTCTAGAGAACTTGCACCTCCTCTCGACCAATCAGATGCAAAACTAAAAGCAATGGTGTCTTGGTCACCTGTGCTTTCCCGCGCTTCAAACAGTTGGTTTGTCTTGCTTTGTTCTCGTCGACTCTTAATAGAATTTCTCTTGCTCTGATCTGATTGGCTGTTACGATTAATTTGGTTTTGGTTTTACGATTTTCGATTTTCCCAGATGTGGGAAAGCAGTAACTAGAATTTCTTTGTGAAACGGAACTAGTTTGAAAACTTTGCTTTTTTTGTTTTGCGTATATCAAATAAATAAATTGAGAAATTCTCAGACAATAAAACTATTAACCCTGTAGTTACTATGTTGCTGTGGTCTGTTCAATAACAGATCATAAATGACGTCAAAATGTGGTAAGGTTCGTAAATTACTCTAGCTTCGAGGAACGGATAATGTCTAAGGATAGCCTGGTTCAGGCGTTGAGGTGATGAAATAGAGCAAAAAAACGAAGGGTGCGATAGTCGTGGCGAGGGTATGTTTGGGTCGGATCGCTTTACGCGACGTGCGTATTTTTACTGATTAAACGCCTAGAGCGCCTGGAAACAGTCTTAGGACAAATTTACGGGTATCTAGTCGTTATATACCCTCGGTCGTTTCGTGCCTAAATTCAGAAGAATCGTACCCAGTTTGAGTCGGTTCTTACCCGAACTGCTGCTTTATAGGCACCAGTCCCAATATCCATTCTTTGTCGCATCACTAGCTACATAAGCTAATGCATTCTCCCCCCAGACTCCTAAAGCCGTGCTAACGCCGCGATACTTGCACAGGGAATCTGAGTACAAGTCGAAGTCTCCCAGGTAAAGAATTGACTACTTGAAACAAACAGAACTCAGCTACATAATTATTGGCGAAGTTATACGATTGATGTCATCCAAAAAAATACCGAAGCTCTAATTGGAGAGTGTTGACATAGAAAGGAGTGAACCAGAGGTAAGCTGCGACCGAACTGTTCTCTGGGAGTCAGAAAAGACCTGCTCGTTTGTCACAAGTAGATAAACCTCTGCTATCAAAATATGCACAGAATAATAATAAAAAAACATTGTCCAAGATATAATAGAGTCACTATGACAACTTAGAGGCAACGATATACTAAAACGTGGTTAAATCTCAGTGGTAAAGAAGCCCCTTATACCCAAACAACTGGCCAGAGCTAAATTTTAGAGAAACCAGTCCCCCATTTTACAGTATGGTCAGCACACGTTAGCATCGATAGCACCTTAACACTATTGGCTGTTCAAGCCAAGCTGGTACTGGTTTTAAGTAAAAAACACAAGACACCATTTCAACACCAGCGCTTGTGTATTGTTATTCAATAGGCATTAATAATGTAAACACTGGTTTGTCAAAACATCAAGCGCACTTCATTCAAAGATCACCGGCACACACCATTTTACTCATTTACATCCAGTAAAATTAGTTAAAAACCTTCAATGTTTCTATAATTCAGTGCAGTCGTCACGTTATGTTAAGACCTGTTTGAATACGACATATGATATTACACACGTGTTTAAAGTCGATCTCTAGCTGCAAAAAAAGCTTTTTTTACACCTGAAAGTCTCTTTTGTTCACTAAAGCGTAAAGGGCACATACTGGCTTGCCCACGGAACGTGTCTTCCTTGGCTTTACTCAACAATGAAACCCCTTCCACATCAGTTTTCTGCTTTCCTATTTTAAGAAAAATAGCCTGCCATTGTAGCATTTACCATTCAAATTTATTTTAAAAAATCAGCTTGACTCTTTTAGCCAAAGACAAAACGCCACCTTAAGGCAGATCACCAAAATCGTAGCCAAAGGGAAACTACACTTGCCAATAGTGAAGTGTCTATCCAAAAGGCACGGTTAACACGCTGTTTAGACTGGATCCGCAAACAAGCAGCGTGAGGATTGGCATCCACTCTCCCTAATCCCTCTGTGTTGTGGGCCCCAGCCCTCTGTGAGTATATAGTATCAGTAAGAATTGTGATCGTCTGCTGTCATCTGTTGGTGTCAGGGTTATGGTAAATAACGTTCAGAACCTGTCCAACACCCTTAGTATGTCCTTCCCTGAAAAAGATCCTTGATCCTTGGCGAACATACTCTGGCTGTTTCATGAACCTGAACCGTATTTTTGCTCTTTGACCGGTCCTCAAGGATTCCTGTCAATGCAACACAAGGAATCTTCGTCAAGATTTTGGAAGTCGCAGGAACATCAGTAAAAAAACTAAGTTGGAAAGAATACCACGAGAAATTTTAAAAAATCAATTATAATTGGTTTAGAGTTGCCGTCAGTTACCTAGGAGCTTCTTGTTAGAAAGCAAATGAAACCGCTTTTACCACAAAAAAAAAAAAAAATTTCACACAAGGAATATTACCCTCGAGAGAGGTTTACATTTACTAGTCGAGCATAAAATACCACTGCATTTCAATTCGTACCTTGTTCATTTCCTCGATAACAGCCGTTTGAATAACATTTCTAATGTACACAGTAGCTTGAAAGCGTTTGCTTATTGATGTGGTGTGATAAAGAAGAAATACATCAGCCCAGAATCCAATGCAGGAATGAGGCTTTTGAACGGGATCTGTTAGAACCATGCCCTAACCAACGTACAAATTAAGATGTTTAGTTAGCAAGGAGCACTAAAAGAAACTACATTCCGTGACATTTTAGGAGTGGTAAAAGCTGGAGCAATCTTGACAAAATCATATCAGTTTCTAGTCGTAGCTGCTCGAAATTTGAATGGAGACGCTTTTCAACACAGCACTTTAAAACCAAAACCAAAGAAGAGACGACGGCAAATTACGAAAAAGCTAAGAACTCCAAGAAGCCAATAAAAGCGAGAAAGGAAAAAAAAAACGCCTCAGTGTTACTCAACCACGGAAGACGCACCTTTCGAATCTGATTGGCAAAGAGACTGGTGCACGCTTTCGGCCTTAGCACAAGAAGTAGCATGCAAGACCAAAGCGAAATCGAGTTAATTTCCAGACTCAGCTCTGGATAATTTTATCAAAACCAACTTTTTCCTACAGGAGCAAAAATCAAGAGTACATTGTCTAAAACTAATTTTTCGGGTCTTGTCAATATTTGGAGAAAAATTAGAGAAAGATTCATAAAAAGATAGATAACGTTCGAATACGGCTAGGAGTAATGAGATGGCGCATTTTGTGTTCTGAACTTACCTTCCTTAGTAAATTCCTGTCGATACCGCTGATCGCTACCGAAGCAGCCTGGCCTGCTCGTACGACCCTACAGGAGGCGCGGTTCCTTTTCACTGATAACACAGTCACTGGCTGAAAGTTACCACTCGTGGACGGACCGAGTAGAAGTTGATCTCCTTCGCGAAGTACTCCTCTAAAGAATCGAATTAAATCCTTAAATCCATGATTAGACTTCATAACAACTGAGAACTTCGACATTGATTGCAACCCCCCTAGACGCAAAAATTAAACTCACACCGCGATGCTTAATCTATGCAAAACGGTTTTAAGAACCGACAATCATGCGTGAGAATATTGAGACAACTGCTTTAATTTCCCAATGGTTAGTTGTGATGTGACGTTACAGATGATGGAAACCGTAAGCTATCAAGCTTTTACTGAGGCCTAAAACGTTGACTAGACAACACCCACTAGTGATACGCAAGACAAATAAAGGAACTTGACCCACGAGGGACCTGGTACTAGGTTGACCAATCCCAGCATTCATTTGGGCGCCAGTGTTATCAATGTCGTTTACTACTGTTTACCTCTCTAAAGTGCCACCCACAACAGGCCCAGTCCCTGGAACATTGAATATTTCATCCACCTGGAAAATGAAAGTAGTTAAAAAATTAACGAGTAGGAAAAAAATTCTTAAAATACATAATACAATGTATTTCTCTGATTATTGAGTAAGCTTAAGTCCTCAGGATATTTGTAAACTTCTTTAACACAGTAAAGTAAGTGGAAAAGTTAAAGGGTACTACCTGTGAGTGGAATTAGCAGTCAAGTTGCCTGGTATTTCAGCAAACCAAAGTTTTTCTTTTTCACCAAATAAGAAGTTTGACCAACATACAGTTACTGTGATATAAGTTCATTAAATTGTAAGAAATTCCACCTCACTTTGAAGAGGTGGTACATGAGCCCCCTAAATCTCGGTTGCCATAGCCACGCCCTGATTCAGAACGTCATAATACCCTGTCCAAGCATCTTAGTTGGTAGAAATGAGCGAAATAGTGAGCACGCGACAAACGGCGGGGGTCAGCGGCTGTTTCCTTCACCAGCACCACTTGTCGCTTGTCTGCTCCTTTGCCTGTCTCGACTAACTACAGGCGAAATGAAACTTCCTCATACCTGGTATTCTGTTGGTTTTTGGGCTAGTTTCTCCTGGTCCGTGGGTGATCGCGATGGAGGCACTAGATTGAGAAATTTCTTGACCAGATTGAGATTTTCTCCATCCACACAAGACACTGTAAAGATGGGAGTAACCCTAGGGATAAAAGATACTGGTATAAAAGCAATTTTCTTTTTTTTTTTTTTTTTAAAGTACTTGAAATTGAATTAGCTTGGATTAAAATCTCAATACAATATTAGTCTTTTAAACATGCACCAGCCTCTCAGATGGAAAACTACAGTTGGATTCCGATAACTCGAACCACGAACCAACTAAAACTTGCGATTATTTTGCCGAAGCTTCAGGAAATTCAAATGGCCACTTGTACGACCTTTCGGCAGATCTCCTCTTTTCTCCATCTAATTCTCTAGAGCGCCAGCAAAATAAGAGCGGCGAGGATGAAAAATAAAAATTTTTTATAAAAAAAATTACCCAAGGGGGTAGGGGTGGGAAGAGAGTTGCATTTACCTTGTGCTTCGCACTCCTTATGGCGCGCACGCTTTACACTTCCAAGTTCATTGTACAGAAAACATTTAAAACTGCTATTCATATTTAGCCGAATTGTTCGCCGAAGGCGCTGAGAATGTTGTTGCGAGAATTATTCAACAATAGTCACTGAGCCTAAGGCGAATATTTGTTTTAGTATGATTAGTCGGGTGCTTTCGTATTCTATTGTAAATTCTGTTTTATAAAGAAAGCATTGAGTGTATTTTGTTATAATGGTGGTGATAAGTCGCATCAAGATGTACAGGCTGTTTTAACAGATTAATTTAACTCAATAAGAAAAAACTTCACATCTTACTTTTAAAAAGTGTTCCGCCAAACTCAGTAACATCTTTTGTGCTCTTCGCAACTGAATTTTTCCTATTGCGGATATCAATCTTAACTTTTAACAAAACGTACAGCACTATCCACCGGATAGAGATTTATCCAATGGATAGCGTTATCCACCCTTCAAATAACCGGGGCCTGAGCAATCATACCAAAGGCAATTATGATTCCAAGATTACTACTTTGTGACAGTATATCGATAATATTGATAGAAACAGCTGGGTTCATCTGAACTAATTAAGAGTTTGTTCCGTTGAAATAAAGAAAAAACCACTAGTTTTTATTATAATCATATGCAGCGAACTAAGATAAGGAATAAGGAGAGCTGTAATCTTACTGATTCGAGTTGAAGTTAGTTGCAGCTGTAATAACATCGTCTTCAGTTTTGACAACCATTGGCACCTTATTACAGCCAGGAGATTTTAAAAGTCGATCAAGTACTCTGCGCGTCCGTTCCATTGTTGTTGGTAAACAAACATCATTCTTGTTTAGTATTATAAAGGTTGGGACTTTCAATGCCATAACCAAGCCTAAGTGTTCTTTTGTAGTTCCAACTATACATAAAAAGTACAAAAATCAACTTAGTAGGTAAGAAGACAAGAGCCACTGTTTTTATCCTTCCCTCTGAAATCTTTACCAAGTTTGCAATGGAAGAACCTATAAAATTTTGTTTCCTCACGCAGTCCATCCCTCCATCCTCTCCACAAAACTTAACAGCTGACAGACAACTTACTGGGCCATTTGATATCAGTGCAAATAGGGGCAACGATAAACACAGAATCTGCTTGTTTCGGAGAATCAGACCGTAAAGTGTTCACTTAACGTTGGGGTAAATTTGGTTCAACATAAAATGATTTTGCTACCATTGTTTATCTCACACAACGACATAAAAGTCATCATGATCATTAATCATCATCATAAACTTTATTAATGTGTCTTGAATATCTAGCCGATGGGGTTTAAAAACCCCTCTACCAATAGAGGACACTTAACATAGTTAATAACCACTAACTGTTTTCTAATGAACTATTAAAAAAAGCCTAACAATATAATCAACAATATAATATAATTAAAAACCTATTAACTATAGACTAATGGGATGAATTATTAAAAAGAGAAAAGATTAAGAATTACAAAGGATACAATTGGAACAATTGTCGTCTTCTACCATTACACTCAAATCAAATTTATGGATATGATTCTTAAAACTAAATAATGATGGGAGGGTTCTAATTTCGCTTGGTAGCTTATTCCACAACTTTGGTCCCATCATTCGTTTGGAAGTTCAAATTTCTAACAATCTTTTTCAATTTCAGTTTGCCCAACGTCAACTGAGAAAAAAGTTGAGTTCACAGCCCTGCTAAGACACGAGTCCTTTACCTATTCCAGCATTTCCAGCGATGACCAACATGGCAAAATCTGGAGAATGACCAGTTAAACCAAAGATTGTTGTTCGTAAATACTTGTGATGCCCAGCTAAATCGATGAAAGTGATCAACTTGGTTGACTGCTCGCAGATGTCTTCTGCCGTTCGAGATTCGCTGTAGTTTACAACCTTGTAAACATAAAACATTTACAAAACTATAACTTGGTTCAAAGCCTGTGAAATATTGACAAACTACAGCCACCTTTCTAAACCTTCCCAAATATGAGTTACCTTTTTCTCTATTAACCCAAATTGTGAAGGTGGTTTTACATTTGATAGCATTCTTAAAAAGTTTTTTTTTACTGAAGTACCTAACAGGAAGGGTGCTTCTTGGAAGGATGGTGCTTATTAAGAAACTACTTAACTGTACTGATTCCATCGTAGTTGAAGCCTTAAAAATTATAAATAGAGTGACAATAGATATATGTTTTCCATGTATCCCTTCCATTCAATAAAGAGAGGAAGGATGGGGAGCACTAATTCAAGGGAGGGCACTTATTAGAACATAGGTACTAAAGGAAGGAAATACAGTATTCAAAGCTTTCAATTTTCTATGAAAGTGCACCCAGAGGAAATCTTGTGGCTAACTTTCGATCTTTGCCTACCTCTCCCTTGCTGCTAAATCCAAGTATTTCATGGCTGATACTTGATGTTCGACCTGTTTGTATTTCATGAAGATGTCTGAAAAGATTCAACCTTGCTCGTCCACGGCCATTATCTAGCTCATCATGCGTCAAGACTCCAAGTAATGTGCTCTTTCCAGCATCAACATTCCCCAACACAGCAAGTCTTATGTCAATAAACTGAAAAGAAATTATTAATAAATAAATACACAAAAATTAGGGTGAATAAATGCAATTCTTTCTCCCTATAATACACTTTGATTTGTTGACTTTTTGAATGACTGATAATCAGCTTTGATAGCTGATCAAAGTGTGAGGGTAATTCAGTGTTATCAACTGAGTTGAAAACATAAATTAGCCACCGTTAAGAGTTTCAAAGCTGACATTTCAAGCCTTAGCTCTATGTCATTCGCTCTGATGAAGAGCTAACACTCGAAATGTCAGCTTCGTAACTCTTTATGGTGGCCAATTTACATTACAACTCAGTTGATAATACTAAATTTCCTTGTTATACTCTTTCACTGATGCAGAACCAGTCTCTTTAGAAACTTACCCCCTTTCATCAAAATGTTGTTTAGTTGAAACAGGAGTCTCATCACCCCACAACAAATACAAAGTGCAGGGACACCATCATTTTTAGAAGCTTTGATTTCAAAATGCTCCTTGTCCCTGTTAAAATTTGAGGTCAAGGTTTTCAACTTCATCCACCTTGATTTGGGCAAATATCCATTTTCAGTAGACAAATAGTCCCTTGTTAAATAAAAAAAAGGCCTGAATTTTAAAAATCCAATTTTTTTTCATAGATTCATTATGCTTACATTTGATGGGGTGTAAATAAACAAGAGATTAAGAGAATGATAAAGAGATTGATGTCTGACAGCATGACAGTGGATGTTAAGATGAGAAAGACATAGAAAACCAAGAACACAGGAACTATTTGAGGAATTTCACCATCCCAGGACAGTTCACACTGGATATTACAAAACGCAAATGTCAAAGTAATTCAACATTATTGGTAGTGTGCTAATTGTAGTCTGACTGGATTCTTCTTCTCCATGCAATAAAATTTCAAAAACATTTCCATTGTGCACCATGAATCGATCAGTATGTCACAAAATCATTACATACCTGCTGATCATCTGGCACTCGTCTCACAAGAACTTCTGCAACCTGTCTGCCATGATTATCTTTCAAAACATAGTTCCTTAATAAAGCAGTATGAGCTCCAAGCTTTGATGCCATGACATTAAGTGTCTTCAGGGAAGACTCCAGCTCTTCCCCAGTCAAACCCACATACATACCATCGTCTCCAACACCAATCTCATAAATTGCTTCTCCTTCACCTTCCTGTAACCGCCACTTCATCTGAGTGACAAGGTGCTCAAGACGAGAAGGAGATGGATTTACAAGCTTCAGCTGTCATATGAATAACAGTAATTTGTATAAGTAACGATATGATTTTGAGTGCAATTTGGTGTTATAAAGCACAAGTAAATTTTCAAAGACAATAAAATAACACAAGCCCATGAGACAAGTGCAATTTGTTAGCTTTTAAAAATTTACAAGTGCTTATTTACACCAAATTGCACTTGAAATCATGTTGTTACTTGTTCATAATTTACATGAAAAATGCATCACAGAAAGTCAAGACACACAAAATTTTGGCTGTGCTTGAGCACTTTTTGTAATTTGCACTTATGTCACAACTTTGCACTCGCGTTAAATGATAAATGCACTTGTTTTTAACCAATCAAATGTGCATTAATTTTTCACGTATATTAGTAAATAAATAATAATAATTAATTTTAACCCTGAGACATTCACAAGGTGGTTCTGTATCCAATTTATCCCAGTCACATTAGAATTCTGAGTGTGTTTCTTAGGTTATGGGAGCAATTTGGAGTTATGAGGGAAAAAACTGGATACCAAGATGTAACCATTCTTGTGTGACACAAGGAAGCCTATTTCTAAAAAGTCTGGGTGGTTAGTCGCCCTGAAAAGCTGTTTTTTGTTTGCAAATAAACACTCAAGATATAGGCATCAATGGTTATAAAATTTAAGTGATGAAAGTATCAGGAAACAACACAGGAGGGACTAGCAGCGGAGCTCGCAGAGCGTAGCCCCATAATTATACAAAATAGTAGTAACCCATCAAGCCGAAAAAATTTGGATGTACGACCGTACGACTGTAAAAGGTGCTACTTTTAACATGCGTGGTCAACTGCACTGCAGGCATGCCAACACCCCGGCTTTGTTCAGTAGTCCAGTGGTCAATGCACTGGGCTCCAAGTTGGATGACCCCGGTTCTAGTCTTGGCCAGGGCAAGGCATTGTGCCCTTGACACGTGCGGGAAAAAAAATGCGAGCTCCACTTTTAGGCTTGGCTAAATCTATATATTATTTAGGGTAAAACGGAATATTTCTATGATTAAATCGAATAATATCGCTTTGGTCTGATAAAGTTGTCAAGAAGATTACTGCATTAAACAGTGCATATCATTCATTCTCTTTTATCCCTTAGGCAGTTTAAGTTATTTTAAGCCAAGAGTAACATCTGATTGTGTTAAGTGTGATCACCCGCGTTAGGGTAGTCCTGAGAGGGATTGTTGGCGATAGTAGTGACTAACATTCTAACAATTTACTTTATTCTCATCACTTGTCTGCTTGATATTGTATTGATATTGTAAAGAGAAATTCTGTCTTGGTCACTCATGGGAGTTAAAAGGTTAACTACTTTAAAGAGAAATCTGTATTTGCCAGAAGAAAGGATTATGAATCAGATCTTGGGAGTTAACGGGTACCAACTTTATTTCAAGACGGTAATGTTAGAAACTCGATTCCCACCGCCATTTTTTTTCAGTTGAATACTTAGAATTTTTTTCCTCGTTCAAGGAAATTCCCCAGAACAAAACTTAGATATTCCATGCAACTAAATCAACACCAGGATTCAGGTGTTCCTCGACTTCAATTTCACTTTCTTAATAAATGTATCTTCCTCTCGGAAACATTCACCTCTCGCTCGAGCGGGCTTAAATTTAATATATTCAGACTATTCAAAGTCCCCAGCAACAATATTTTGCCACGAAGCACTATTTTGGAGATAGCGCATCCAGGTAAAATATTACATCATCATCATATTAAAAAGTAGCATCGAAAATTTCTGATGGCGAATTTCCTCGATAACAACTGCAACCGTTTCAGTTCTATTCCAACAGTGAACAACTCGAACGAGATAATGAAAACCGTTTGCTATTTCCAAGCTTAGAATTTTTCCCGCTTGACAAGGAAACCTCATCCAGTTTGAGACCCAGGTCAGAACCATGCTGAAGAACTCACCTTATACTCTACGTTTCCTTCTTCAACCTGCAAATCATCAAGCACAGAATCATATTAAACTGAGGAAATCAAGCTTGTACCTAAACGAAAATACCTACTAACCTCCGGAGGCAGGGGCGGCAGGCACTCCGGCATTGAAGCCCGGGCTTTCTGTGTTCCGCTCCCTGATGGTGTTTCGAATAAATGGATGAAGGATTCCATTCTTGGTGCAAAGGTATTGTTATCGGTGAAAATTCCCAAATCGATACCATCAGGAACCGTCTAACGCTCTTGCCAGTGCAACATTATTTGGCGGTTGATTTTGTTATTTTTGTTATTGTCGGCTCGGTTCATCATTATGCCACCAGGCGACGGTGAAAAGGACCCGGATGTAAGGTATACTGACGTCACAAAAGAAAGTGGAAAATTGGCGACTTATCAAGCACACGATTACCAAAGTTGCTGAGTCGACTATATCATACTTTTCACCATATTTCGAGGCTTTATATCCGAAAACTTGCGTTTCACCATGAGCTGCAATATTGCATTGGTAAAATTTCACAGTAGTGCGGAATCCAGGGTAGCTCGGCCAATTTTTTTATTGATTTAAATTCAAAATAGAGAGCAATACTTCATTATCCCTGACGTTAAAATCAAAGTGAAGAGCAGAAGACTGTCAGTTCATTTTTATTTTGAAGACAACGAAAATGAAATTTTGCTCTCCATTTTGATTTTGGCGTCATGGATAAAGAATTTTTGCTGACATGACTAAGAAATGAAACTTAGAACAGCGAACGTATCCACAACTCAAAGCAGAGTTCAGAGACAAGCGCAAATAACATGAAGAGTAAAAACGGGATTGAAATCGGTGACGAAAGTTAAAACGCAAATGAAATGAAACGAAAGTGGCAGAACCACCTGAGATAACGCAGGTCGAAGTCAGGCAAGATATATTAGAGTCGGTGGGAAGTGGTGGATATTTACCTCGCCGCTTCGTGGCTCGGTAAACATCCAACAACAACAACAACAACAACAACAACAACAACTTTTATTTCAACACGATGGTGATTAAAGCGTTGCCGCTTATGGGGTCGTGCATTTAAACTAGAACCTAAGGAATAAAAATATATTAAAATCGTCTCAATAATATAGAAAATCGTTATCATTATTGTGAGGCATTGTTTGCGGAGATTCCGCCTGAAAGTCTAAGTTACGTAATTTGTACAGCACTAGCTGGATACTTCACTTCGGTAAATAGTTGTTAAGTAATCACCCTGCAATGTGAAGCACTCAGTTTCAAATGGCCCTCGCGCAAATTCGTAATGATTTTAAGGAGAAAACGAGTAAAGTGAAAGAAAATGCAGTTGCTCTAATAATCACCCAAGTATAATCATATTAAAACAATTGTTCTCCTCAGACTCTGTTATTATTGCCGAATAATCATTTAATAGTCTTATGCACGAAACTGTATCAGTCAAACAAGTCAAGCCAAGTAACAGAGTCGCCTCACTATGTTCAGTTAACAAATATTGACTTCAACCAATCGAAACAAGGAACTGTTATAAAACAATAACCTCCTCTTTATGTTCCCAATATACAACGCAGAGGAATTTGCGGGAAAACTGCCCGGCCCAAAACTAAATTTGAGATGGTATGCACTAAACAATCCTTAAAACAAAAGCTCCTTTTTTTCCATTTCGTATTTTTCACAACAACCAACTTACATTTCTTCCAAACTATTTAAAGAAAACAAAGAGGATGATGATGAAGTCAATAAATAGGCAAAATAATAAAGATCTCGTACTGAAAGCACTTTGGAAATGATAAGCCACGAGTTGGATCTGTATCAAAAATTCACGTTAAATAGTTGCAGCAGAGTTAGTTTTGCTTTTCAGCGTACGCTCCCGTTTCATGCGACGCATAAAGGAATCCATTGCCTTGCGGCAGCACCTCCACACCATATCTCTGTCAGACGGTAATGTACGATAAACCTGGAAGACAATTTCTTTAATGATTTCCACTCTGTTCGGGTCGACTCTGTCTTTCCCTCTGGCTCCTGAAATGTTCTTCCCATCAAGTTCCTCCAAGGTAAACAATTCGCGCATCAGGCGCACGGCAAAATTCATCGTGGAGGTGGACTTTGCCTGCATCGCAATAATATTGTCACGTGAAATGGGAAAGTTGGAATTTTCAGGCAGCGTAAGCTCAGTTATTTTTGCCATTTTACGTTGAATCAGACGGCCTTGAGCTGTCGATAAACCAGGATGCAAATTCGTCACGTTACACGAGGAAGTTAAACTGGAAGCTTCGACGCTAATAGATTCCATAGCAGTGTCTGTATCGCTGTTCTCCATCGCTCCGTCACTCGAGTGGGATTCAGTCAAGTTAACATTAGACCGCTTATAATTTGTTGTTGACGCAGTTGACTGGCTTTCTTTTGACTGAGATTTGATAGGTGCGCTCACCGCTTGGTCTCCCTTCGTAAAACATTTCTTTTGCTTTCCTGGCAAAGGTATATTCGAATGGTTAGCTAAGTTATCTGTATTTAACTGATTTACCATCGTAACAGTAGTGGAATGACTTTCCGTCTTTGATTCAATCGATCCGTTTCCTGTCATGACAGAATTTGGGCCACTTTCGCACTGTTTGTCTATCAAGTTGGGATTATACTTGTTTTCTGTTTGCAGCCCATTTATTCCAACACTGGATTTAGCGCCGATAATCGCCATAATCTGATCTATCTTATGCTCCATTCTCACTAACACTGGAAGGATCAAAGCAAGTTTATCATCTTGAAGAGCACTAAGCATACTCATGGTGGATGAATGAGGAGATGTATGAGAAGACAGGACGCAAGGCTGGAGAGGCGCTTGGATAGCGCTGTTTAACAACGGTGAGGGAAACAGATTTGGAGGGAGAGTGAACTGGGCGAGTGAAGCTAAAGATGGGGTACTCTCCAATGGTCCAGAGTGCGGAAGTTGCTGCCCTGCCGGTTGCGGAGCCCGAAGAGTATTATTTGGAGCCTGAAGCACGGTTTGCAGAGTTTGGGGTGCTACTTGGAGCACGGTCTGTGGAAGCTGAAAGAGTGTCTGAGGAGGCTGAAGCGAAGCTTGTGAAGCCTGTAGCAGACTTTGTGGCGGTTGAAGCAAACTTTGTGTGGGCTGCAAAATTGTTTGAGAAGAGTGTGACACTGTGTGGGTAAGCTGTGGTGTAGTATTTAGAGGCCGCATAGAAACTTGAAGGGGCTGGGATGTAGTGATCTGTGATTGCATCATCATTTGTGAAGACTGAGACACAGTTGGTTGAGTCTGATGAGCAGCTTCTTGGAGCTGCAGTGATGCCTGTAAAGGTTGACTTGTTGGCAGCTGTGGCGCTGTTTTTACTGTTTGATCCCCCCCTGATAGTGGATGCAGTTTCTGTACCAACTGCATCAACTGAGGCAGTGTATGTAGTGGCTCACCGGCAGTTTCTGTAGGTTGCAATACTGTGTTCGTAGGCTGCAGAACTGTCTGTAGAGTATGAGATGGTGTTTGTTGGGAAAGAGATCCTTGTCTTGGAGGTAACTGCAGGGCAGGCTGTTCCTCTGCTGCTGTAGCCTAATCAAGGTAAATATTAACAATCAACAGTTAGAAACCTGTTGATGAGGGAAGAAATTGAAAAAAAAAAAAAAAAAGGCTGGTCAGTTGAAAGCTCGGAAAGGAAATTAATTTTATTTTCACAGTGGGTTTGATGGATCTTGTAAATCTTTACCTTATCATACTAGGGGGAAGGGGAGAGTCCCTTCCCAGAAGCTCCTTGAACCAAGCAACAACCTAATTCCCAGAAGTTAGTCACTTACAGAACATAATATTGAACAACAGGGAGTAGAGTTTTCAGCTCTTGTAACCACTGAGCTGTAAATCTCTGAGGTATCACTGGGGTTTTTTCAAAGGAGGTTCACAGTTACCAATTTCTGCTCAGCTTGAGTGAAGTAGCTTATGATGCTGTTACTCCTTGTGTATCAAGGGGCTACAATTCAAGAAACCAACAAGGACCAGCAAACACTGGAAACGAATTTTTGCCCTGTAGACAAGGGGAGGTGGCACCTTTTCCTAAACCTGAATTATGATATTTGTATGAAAAATCATCTCACAACAGTAGGGATCACAGCACCCCAGTTCTTTGGCATTGTCATATCTGGTTCTCTGACACCCTAACAAATACCCCATTATCTTCTTTTCACTTCTCTTTCTTTGGACAATTTTGGAAAGAAAGTGTCTGGTCACATGACTTGCATATTACACAACTTGGTTTTTAAGGTTTTCCTTCCAAGGTTTCTTTTGAGTATTTCCTGAATAAACTCTACAATTTAGGCTTTGTTTTTATTCTCCTTCTTCAATCTGTGTCACCTTTGAAACTTTTGAACATTGCACTGGCAGCCAGGAAGAGACAGGAAACTTGAATTAATCTTAAGGTTTTTAAGATTAACTTTCAAATGCATTGCCTCTAAGAGCTATAGGCAATGAATTTCATTGTAAGTTGAAAGTTTAACCATGATCCACCATTAGAGGGGAATAAGTATGTCATCTAAAGAGAGTATCTTATTTAACCCTTTAACTCCCAAGATCTGATTGTTAATTCTCCCCTCTAGCTGCTATATATTTCCTTGTAAATTAGTTACAAGAATTTGGTGTTAGATCAAGAAAACAACTTCTACATGACACATTTGAGTATTCTCATTACTTGTTTGCTGGATACTGCATGGATATCATTGGGGGAAGTTACTTGTTAATCGCATCTGGAAGTTAAGGGGTTAAACACAATTTCCCAGACCAGCTGTTTCACCTGCCACTAAGAGTGCTTTAAAGTAGTCTGAAATATTTGGTACATTTGAAAGAAAATGTGCTACATTGGATTATTCCAGATAAGCAAATGCACTTATTACAGCTTACCATTTACACCCTTACATTAGAGTTCACATTCTCTACACTGTCCTTTTTACATTTCCTATGGTACTGACTAGGAGAATTTGTTTGATAATCAAGAGTGTTTTAACCTGGTGATCAATTCCTTTATTCTCATGACCTTTACATTACATTCAAGCCGGATAATGAAAGGAGAAATTAGAACCCATTTGTTCCTAGGATTAAATCTTTAACAGCCAAACTAAGAACACAAAAATTGCAAACCCAGAGTGACAGAAAAATCGTGCCCTCTTTTAACATCAGTGGCCAGTCAGTTAGAGGTAAGAGGAATTTCAAAACTGAAAGAGAGGAATTGGAGGATTTCAATAAATTCTCTCAATCATTCTGGTCCATACAGTGATTATACCTACCAACTTTTTCAGAATCAAAGAGGGGAAAATTTTCTTTTGAAATTGGGGATATTCTATAGAGGACTTGGTCATGTTACAAGACGCCTGAAGATTTTTAAGGACACTCCATAGATTTTGGCACAGAAAATGTGTATATCATGTCTGTAATGGTGCAAGTTTTTCCTTGGGCAGCAAGTGTGAGCTGGTGAGAGATCACAGATTTTGATCCCTACAGGTTGCATACTCACACCTCTGAGGTGAGATTTGATGGCATAAGATATTTCAAGTGATAAAAGCATAAAAGATAATAAGACAGTTGTTAAGACATTGAGGGAGACAACTATCTGTTGAGCGACTTATCTAACAAACCTGCAAACTCAGAAAGGTCTTAAAAGGGAAGGTGAAGAATGATCACGAAGAAACAAAATAAAAGAAAATTTGAGACTGTTTGGGCCAACATAAAACTGACAGCAGTGGCAGCTTCTCAGACTTTTACAAGGCTCAGTGATACCATATTTCCTCAAATAGGGCCCTAGGTGCTTATTTATAATTTTGGCCAATAAAGGAGGGGTGCTTATGGGAAAGAACGTGCTTAATCGAGGGGGCACTTATTAAGTAATCATGAACTTTACTGATTCAGTTACAGTTCAAGCTTAAAAATTTTCAAATAAAGTGGCAATAGAAACAGGATCTCTTATTTGAGCATGGGCACTTATTCAATGAAATTCAGTAATAATGTTGAGGAGAATATTCCCCTTGTTAATTTACTGAAGTGGAACCACAGTACCCATGCATTTGGCACGAAATATTACTAACTAGATTAAATAATGGCAGCTAAGTTTGATTTGTTGATTTATGTTTTATGAGGACGCAGAACAAAAACGATGAGATTTCCACACGGCACTGTATCTTGTTATGCATACAGTTCTTGGAAAAAGAAGACATTAATGGCTTTGTTTTGTAATAGTACAGGGCTGTGTGGAAATCTTAGACCGAACATAAAATTAAGCTCTACGAAGAAAATTAGTTTAGAATAGTGGCTGCGTGCCCACGCGGTTAAAATATTGAAGAAAGTGAACTGAAAAAATAACATTTATATACACATTCTAGTTCTAAACAACAACAATAATTGATATTTGAGAAAGGATGTTTATAACAAATTAATTGGGGAAGAAAAAAGGCAATAAGTAACACTTTTTGTTACTCGTACGTAATATAAGGTCTAGTTAAAAGACATCCCGCAAAATCGCAAAGCAGAACTTTTAAAATGGCGCCCAAATATGACTGCGGTGACAGCAAATCGAGACAAACCCTCACAAGGTGATTCTTCCCGTGTAAATTATTTTTTCTTAACAAAAATCAAATTCGAAATGTATATTTTACGAGCAGAGCTTACGTAGGATCGGAGAAATATGCAATTAAATATCGTGAAGGAAAATTAGGTGAGCGGGAAACATTAAATTGGATGCAACGCGATGCGAGCGCACCGGTGATTTGTGACTACAACAAAACCGCGTTCGCTGCATTATTGATTTGAGGCTGTTTTATCTCTCTAAGCATTTAAAAAAGCATTGCAAACCTGAGTAATCGATTTTCTAGGTCTCCTTTTTCTCGTCTTCTCTCTCAGCTTTCCAGAAACTTTTCGCTCCTGCGGAAATACGAGAAGGTTTAAATTCACGCTTTCGTGTACTTTCCTTAGGACTATTGCAAAGCTGAGAAGCAAGGTAGTTCGATAAAATGAAATTTTACGCAAAATGCTTTCCTTCTTGGCTTTTAAATAAATTATATTGAAAAATATCTCACCGTATTATTGTCCTTTAGTTCTTGATTGTCATTTGATTCCCACATAACTGTAGATTGGGAACTCGTTGGAAGAGTTTTCGAAACGAGACGTTAATCGAGAATTGCGTTTGACTTTCGTTTACGAGCGAGCACTCAATTGTGAGTGACAGGTTAAATTCAAACAGTAGCCAATCATGTTGATTTATCTCGCATACTCAAATTAGCCTCTAAGATTACCAGACCGCGACCGCAAACTTCCTAATATGAACGGTCTTGGAAAAAAAAAAGATGAAATTAAGCAACAATTCTAGAATTGAAATAACGAATTATTGTATAATTATGGTATCTGACGATACAGATGATGGATAGAACCGGTTACCTCGAAAGAAAGGGTTATTTCTTCATCATAGCAACATGAAACTGTTATTCTGTATTCTATTTTTAGCTGGCCTGTTCCAGGTGGGTTCGGTTAGTAACTTGGAGCGCGATAGGAAACGAAAGCAGCTGAGGAGTGAGCTAAGTTTGGCTAGGGTAATCTGTTTCTACTGAACGGATGTGGAATCTTGACGCGGCTTACAATCAGATAGCATCAACCCTAACTCCGAGTTTCGTTATCATGTTTGGTTCAACAAATAGTCAATGATTATTCATGAGCCTTCGACTTTTACTCAGATTTTCAAAAAAAAGAGATACATCTACAGAAAAAGAGACATTACAGTAAAATGTAATTTGCCTCAGAATTGCTAGTCTAGACAAATAAAGCTAAAATTGTTATATCTGTCGGTACTTGCTCCACGACCCTCTTGTCCTGAATTGGACTGTTTTTTTATTTAGTCATAGCTCCTATCTACCTCGTACCAATTTTCTTAATTATGCCAGTCATTCATCGCAATCGAGTGTTGCGTTTTCCGTTTAACATTTCGCTTAGGTCATAGTAGAAAATTATTTAGGTATTGGTCGCGACAAGTTTGAGCAAGTTTGTGTGGGAGAGTGCATGTTATGTTCGCTTAACATCTCGGAGATTATACGACGCTGGAACTTATGTAATGTGTCTCAGGAGGGGCGACTTTAGGAACAGCAGAGGAACAGAATAAGAGAGATGGTTAGTATTTAAGCTCGTCAAAGAAATAGCGGGGAAAGACGTTTTTCGTCTGAGTCCCCATGAGAAATCGAACCTCAGACCTTCGGATTCCGCGCTCCTATGCTCTACCACTGAGCCACAGAGACTCTATAGAACTATGGTGGACTTTGGAACAGCTCTGAAAATTAGGAAAAAACAAGACACACACAAGTGTAACCCCTAAGGTTATGCTGAATAATGATATGTCTTGTCAGGAAGTCTAAATACCAAGATAACAAGGTTATTGACCGCATATGTTACGATCAACTGTTACGACTACTCATTTGGATTTAAAATTGGGGTCTCGAAAAGCCATTTCCTGCGTTTTTCGCAGAGCATTTTCAGTATATCTGTAAAGTACGAGGGAAAATGCATTAGTAAGTGGGAACATGGACTGATTTTTGATTGCTGCACCAAAAAATACTGAGGCTGATCATTATAACCTCTCGCGACGTCTAAATATAACCTCTTACGACATTTAACCTTAAGGAGAAAGTAACTCTCAACGAAAAGAAGGTACAATCGTACTATTCTGCTTAGGTTTATTCCGCTTACATTAGAAACGTCTAAAGTGTTTGGGATTTTGGTTTGACAGCAACAAGTCTACAGTCGAAAGAATTGGTCGTGAAGTCGAAGGGCGGGTTTCCAAACTTCTCCACCAATAGCTCAATTCTCTCTTGGGTTACAAGGTGTAGATCGAAAACTCCATGTGTAGTACCCACAAGCCACTGTAGAAGGCTTTCCACACTGGGATAGAAATCCCTCGTATATTTGGGATGATAGCTCTCCTTGCTCTTCTTAAAGAAGATGTCAACTTCTCAAAAAACCTGAATAATTAACCAATGTGATAAGCGGCCGAACATTAAAATACAATAATGCTCCATTAGCGCTTACACTAAACGCTCAAACACATCTAATGGTCTAACAATTCATGGGCGGTATTACGATAATGACACAATTCGTATGCATATATATAAGTATTTTATGCCGGGTGAAGCCACCAACTTTGTTGGATCAATTTTCAAATTGTGTTAATATAAACAGGTCAGTGAAAACTGGTCTGTAATAATGTTCATCTTGAGAAAAAATTACCTCCCCTTCCTCCCCCCCAAGAAAAAACCCCCGGCTTTAACTCCCCCCCCCTCACTACTATCAAATATACCGAGTAAAAGAGCAAGTATTTGTCTGTCAATGTAAAGTGTTTTCTTAGAAATATTCCGTTAGATTCAGACTTGTCTGACACAAATAAGTAGTCGTAGTGGTTGATCGTGACATATGTGGCATACGACGATTGTGAGATGCAGTTGATAACCCTTTCGAGAAACTGTAGGAGCCAACAAAACCCATAAAATCGCTTGCAGCTGTTGACCTCATAAGTGCTCACACGCGCAATAAGTTTTAAAGAGTGAATATGCATACTAATCCAGCTATGTCCAAATAAATGATAAAAGCATGAAACTTTGGCTTCCCTGTTGTTAAACGTTAAATATACCTGTTTACGTAATTTTCTGAATCACGATTGGTAAAACCTGTTTACCTTAGAAATATAAAGATTATGTCTCTGGTTGACTTGACATTCTCCTCCTTTACTTTAGTAAAATTAATTAGCTATTATGAATAAGCTTTGGTTAACAGATTTTGGATACCTGTGGTAAATTGTTCCGCTAAACTTCTCTGAACGGCGCTTTAGGTGAAATCCTAAAATGTTCTCCTATCTAACCAAAATTCAACAAACGATTGATGTAATGCCTAATTCTTAGTCGATCTACTCTATTCGTTAGTGACACCGTTGTAAATATTTATGGCTGTTGGCAGTTGCTGCCACATTTGCACAAACCAGTGCATGCCAAATAAGCCTTTAAGTTCTTGCATTGTCCTCTACATGAGGCTATGCATCCGCATCGAATAAGTTCGTGACAAGGTTCCTTTGTTTGCAGTAGAGCTTTCGAGAATGGTAACCATGAGTCGTTGAGCTGCCGCCACCCTTGTCTGATGGGCTTGGAAGCACTGGCTGACAAAGGAAGGCCCCATACGTAGGCTGCATAGCCTAACCAAGTACATGGACCATGAGGCGAGTATCTGCCTCTTCATGCATGCAAGGCACAAGTAATCTCATCTACCCTCGGGGTAAGAGCATTTCCTGTTCGTGCGCATCTTGTGCACGGGCAGGAGAATGCTAATGTTATAGGGGAAGGAGGCGCAGTTGATCTCACAGAGAATCCATCAGCTTTGAGAAGATGGATGGTGGCCAGTCCTGAGCTCTCCAGGATGATTCAAGAGTTCGAAGGTAGCAACAATCAAACAGAGGAAAATGACCATCATGAGCAGAAGTCAGGTATCCAGAAAGCATTAAGACGGACTGAATACACTATCTTCATTCAAGAACTTGGCAACCCGTTCCCTAGAGGAAGGAGGAAACCTGATGGCGATTCATATCTGGGATAATATGGTTGATACGGTGGTAAAAACTGTTCGCAGTGTTACAAAAATTGGTGAGAAACAGTTCAATTAGTTTGCCAATGAGCGGTTTGTCACAAACTTTCAAGAAGAATAATCTTCCCACTTTCACGTCGACGAAAAGGGAGACCGTGAAAGACGAAAGTAGAAGTTTTGAGGGATGACTGTGTCTTATTCTTGCGACTTCACATAGCTTGTCAGATTCGTGATGGAAACACGGAAGATTTCTTCAAGTATGAGAACCAACCATGGCCGCCACCTCTTTCGCAGCTTTGTCAGCTTAGAGGAGGACAGAAGGCAGACTTGGCGCTGTGTTTACCCAGCACATCAGCAGAGATCGCAACTCAACCAGTCGCTGATGTAGTTACTCTTGATGGAACTGCTATTGTGCAGATGCTACAGCCAAGAACAGCACGCACGTTTGATGAATACTTAAGTACCGTGTACGCCCCTTACATCCTAAAACACCTGGAAACGGCGAGAAGGGCTGATTTAATCTGGGATGTCTATCAGGATGATTTAATGAAGAGATCATTGCGAGAAAAGAGAGGCTCTGGACAAAGGCGCAATATACTAGCATCAACAAGAATTCCTGCTGACTAGAAAGGCTTTCTGCGAGTGGTTTAATCACAAATATTTATATTCATATTATTTAAGGTGGTTTCACTGAAGGTTCTCGAGGGTCAGAGCACCTACTCTATCTATGATGAGGGTATCCTATCGAGTACTGAAAGAACGGAGATGAGCTTACTTGCGCCTTGCACACATGAAGAGGAAGATAGTGGCCTTACGGTCCATGTATTCGATACAACCTCAAGGGGACATTGATGAAATAGAATTAGAAACAACGATACAGATATTGTACTTACTATTTCAGTGGCTAGCACTCTTCCAAGAGATGAACTCTGGATCACCTTTGGGTCTGGAAAGAATGTACAGAATATCCTTGCACTTACCATAACAACGTCCCTGGGTCCTGATAAAGCCTCGACCCTACCAATGTTCCATGCACCAACTGGGTGTGATACTGTTTCGTCTTTTAGAGGGCGTGGAAAGAAAACGGCTTGGGATGTGTGGAACTTGTTTTCTCAACTGACACCAGTGCTAAAATTCCTCAAAGCATCACCCCAAGAGATCACAGAGGAGTGCATGGCTGTGCTTGAGAGGTTTGTTGTCCTTATATATGACCGTAAAGCAGCCTTACGAAAGTAAACGAGGAGCAATAAAAGCTCTTTTCAAAGAGGTCTAGAAGCTTAGACAGTATCCCTCCCACTAGAGCATGACTTGAGCAGCACGTCAAAACAGCAGTGTTCCAAGAAGGCTACGTACGAGGCCAAACCCTCCTTCGTCAGAAAGTGCTTCCACAACTCATGGTCACCATTCTGGAAAGCTCTACCTCAAGGAAAGGAATCTTGTCACGAACTTATTCGATGTGGATGCAGAGCCTCATGTAAGGGACGATGCTATTGCTTAAAAGCTAATTTGGCATGCACTGGTTTGTGCAACCGTGGCGGCAACTGCCAACAGCCATAACTATTTACGACGGTGTCACTAACGACTAGAGTAGATAGACTAAGAATTAGGCATTATATCAATCGTTCGTTGAATTTTGGTTAGATAGGAGAACATTTTAGGATTTCACCTAAAGCGCCGTTCAGAGAAGTTTAGCCGAACGATTTACCACAGGTATCCCAAATCTGTTAACCAAAGCTTATTTATTATAGCTGGTTAATTTTATTAAAGTAACGGAGGAGAACGTCAAGTCAACCAAAGACGTAAGCTTTATATTTCTAAGGTAAACAGGTTTTACCAATCGTGATTCAGAAAATTACGTAAACAGGTATATTTAACGTTTAACCGCAGGGCAGCCAAACATTATGATAAATATTATAGAGGATAGTCACGTAATAGCATAAGATGAATACGAATAGACAGAAAATGACTCGGTTGTTATGTTTGAAGGCTTTTGTCGCAAATTTCCCCAAGCAATGTTGTTAAAGAGGATTTTTTTAATTCTTAGCCTCGTTTCCATGTTAGCGATTTCTGATATCTGTGGTTCTCGTCACCAGAAGTTAATTTGGATTGGCCCTATATCAAAAAATGTTAGTCTTAGGGTCATAAGTGTTGTGACAAAGTTTCATGCTTTTATCATTAATTTGAACAATTTTGGTCGATAACCGCTAGACTATACGCACTCCGGACCTGTTTTTTTTTTTTTTTTTATCCCCACGGGGATATTGTTCAAATCGCAGACAAAGCATTGTAGTTATCATGAATTATTAAATCTGAGTCGTCTTCAATTTGCATAATAAGTAAGCTTTTGAATTAGGTAAAAATAAAAACAGTCCAGTTTAGGATAAAATTACAGATATAAGAATTTTAGCTTTCTTGCGCTTCATACGGTTCAAATCATGAGGACTTTAGGAGAGGTTGGGGCGCACATGGCTTACAACACTGTATTAGTCGGAATTTTAATCATGTATGGGTTATTCGGAGCGTTCGTTTTTAGGAAATTCGAGGCTACTGAACGTGTGTCAGTATCAGACGGCCAGCCAGGAATTTCGAGAGATGAATTACTTGTGGACCTGTGGAGTGGAAAAGATCTTGACTTTGACACGTGGTCTGTGCAAGCGAAAAACAAATTGGATTTATACGAAGAAGGTTTTAACCCGGAGTCGTCCATTTCTGCCGAATGGAGCTTAGATGAGTCGTGGTTATTCGCTTGCACAATATTCACTACTATCGGTAAGAGGGAACTAGAAATGATTTATTGAATTTCCTTTTAATGAGCTTTTTTGTTTCTTCTTGATTATTTTTGTGTCGCTTAAAAATTTACATTTGCTTTAAGGCTTTCGCGCGGGAGCTAAGTTGAGCTGCATTTCACCTAATCTGAAATTCAAATTACTGTGGTTGTCCGGCATCTGAAAGGGAAAGTGAGGGAGGGGATGGAAGGGAAGTGAGGAAGTGGTTCGAGGGAGAGGGACATAGGGGTAAAGAAAAGGAGCTTTGTGAGGAACCCACGAGAGTTGAGCGGCCAGCGGGAGATCTGTTAAAGGTCTTGGACAAAAAGTGATTTGTTATGCCAGGCGCCAAATTCACAGACCTCTCGCCAGCTGGACTCTCGACGACCACAGGACACTCATGTAGTAGCTCTAAAGAAAGCATATTCGTAGGTTGCAGAAAAGGGAGCCTGAAAAAAAAATCTAGTTATGACAAGTAAATTAAGTCCAGTAAACACCTGCTATCCGAAGTCTCTTTCGCTGCCTTGTAATGGTTTGATCGCGTTACGCGGCTACGTGTGACACTGGAGACTTGATTTGCTGGAGCTCGACTTAGTCTTCTAGATTTATACTCTCGGCCCTATCACAACGAAATCACACCGAACGAAAAAAGGTCTTGCAGAGAATATATCAAACTGTTTTATGTGTTGGTATGTTTTATACTAACACGTAGAAGAATAATTAAATCCCGCTGAATTAATATTTTTACCTTATGCACTAAAGGTTATGGCAATATTACCCCGATGTCCACCTCTGGCCGTATTTTCTGTATTCTGTATGGATTTGTTGGAATACCCTTGTTCAATGTAGTTGCCGTGAGTGTAGGATCTCTAATAACCGGGTTAGTTACTTTTATGCCTTCATATTCACCTTAATTTACCTTATTGTCACCTTAGTTTCGATGATGGACGACGAATCGTCAACCACTGTTTTTCTGTTACTGTTTTTTTGAAACCATTAAAACTAAGTTTTGTTATTTGAAGTTTTTGACACTGTGTACTGCATATCTGTGGTTTACGATAAGGAAGTCGATTTTAGCTCTTCCCAAGTCAACGTTTAATCGTTCTCTGAAAGTAAATATATTTCATTCGACATTTATCACTACCGTTTTAATGCCAATTGTTCTACTGCTTTAAAAATTTTTCCAGGGTGATTCAATTTTTTCACTCCACCTATGAGAAGCGAAAGAGAAAAATTGTGGCAGAAACACATAAGAAAGACGACTTTGACTCTGAACCGCTGGCAAGTGAAGTCAACCAAGAGGGTAACCTTACTTTCAAGAGCGTCCTGAGCATGACTGTAGCTTATCTAGCGGCTGGTACACTGCTATTCTCCCTGTGGGAGGATTGGTCGCTGTTTGAAGCGTTCTACTATTGCTTTGTGACTCTGACAACGATAGGTAAGAAAACAGTGGCAGATCGGGGGGAGGGGAGGGTACGAGGGGTCCATGCATTTTTTTCTGAGAGCAAAATTCTTGAAACAACAGGATCCCAAATTGTTGTTGTTGTTGTTGTTAATGTCGTTCTCTATTAATGAAACACGCATTAGAGAACTCTCAAAACAATCAGGTTCGAAACTTAAAACTTGGCCGGTGTGGCAGTTTCGTTATTTTTTTTTTTAAATTCTTATCAACATATTAGCTACACATGTATTTCCTCATGGCCTGTTTGGTCTTTAATAATACTCTAGTTTTACGACATAGAATCGAAAGGCTCTGTATACACTTGGTACCAAAACAAAGCACAGCCCTTCGAAGAGAACAAATAGATCTAAAGCATAAAACGTCTAAAAATATAATTCTGTCTTCTGATCCTTGACTCGAATCGATAAACTGACGATTACACAGTGTTTCTTTTTTACTGAGAGACAGCGGATTAAATGCCTTAGAACTCAAGTTTTAAGGCATAGTTTTGACTTGCATGTCATTTCTTTTGTTGATTTTCGGTATTTCAGGTCTCGGGGACTATGTGCCGCAGAACATGCACCACACGGTGTTCTTTGGTGGGTACATTATCGTGGGTCTTGTCTTGGTGACCATGCTATTTAGTACCATGGAAGAAGAGATTGCTCAGTGGTTTGATAAGATTAAGAGAGCGGCTGGGATAACAAAGCACCCACAAGAGGACAAAAAGAATCTCTAGGCCATTATACTGATCTTGAATACATCTACACTTTGGATTGTGTTTGATTACCTCTGCATGAACGAAAAATGCCACCGTTGAGTGTTACTAGGTGAGATACATCTAATCTGCAACCCCGAGAGCTACTGGTTAAAGAAACACAATGGCGTTTAAGCGGATACACACAAATACAGCGCGCCAGATGTGTGGCTAGAACAGAAAGTAGAGATCTAAAAATTCGTTGACCAAGATGAGGAAAATGTTCGGATGAAGTTTTGTCAGCGGCCAATTGTTTGGCATCATTAGCTCTGCTATTTCTTTCCTTTTCTTGTTTTGTTGTTGTTTTTTTTTACACATAATAGCGGAGCTCGCAGAGCGTAACCCCATAATTATACAAAATAGTAGTAACCCATCAAGCCGAAAAAATTTGGTTGTACGACCGTACAAGGTGCTACTTTTAACATGCGTGCTCAATTGTACCACGGCTTTGTCCGGTAGTCCAGTGGTCAGTGCACTGGGCTCTGAGTCGGACGACCTGAGTTCTAGTCCTGGCCCGGGCAAGGCGTTGTGCCCTTGAGACGTGCGGGAAAAAAATGCGAGCTCCGCTTTTAGGCTTGGCTAAATCTGTATATTATACTGTCCTGTTAAGAAACTGATTATCTAAATATGTAGCCTTAAATTGATACCGACATCCGTTTTGTGAATGAAATAAACCCAGCCAAGACTGTTGTGCTTTGTCAAAACATTGGCTCGTTCCCGGTTTGTAGCAGAGAAAATAGAAGGAAATTCAGGATTTACGGGTACAAGTTACTTTTCTTCTTCTGTCGCTTATGCATACATATCTCGGCGAGTCTGCAAGTATCAATGCAGCAGAAGAGCATGTTTCCCTATCAAAACTTTTGTCATTTTAAACCAGAAGTAGTGGTGAAAGGAGGGATGTATTCAATAAAGCGGCAGACTTTCTATGTCCTTCTCGCCTGTCTTGGGTTGAACTTCTAACTTAACCGAAATAGCATCTAAGCGCGCTCGCTGATATTTACGTAACATAAAAGCGACCAGAAGTGTTGGAGATGGAAATACGTCAACATTTTAGTAAAAACAGAGGATGACAATCACGTTTGCAAGTTACTGTTTCTTTCATCGGGTAGAATGGTCCGACATTAATGCATTATGATATGCAACCAAGGCAAGCCATCAAAGCATTGAATGAGAAAAAGCGCGAATTCGCCAAAGGGTACTCACGAAAATAACCATACCATTCTTTAATTGCATTCACTTTTCAGATATAATTCATCTGAAAGTTAGGGAAAGGAGTCCTACAGGATTCTCATCGACCGATCTCGTCGGCCTGCTCCGACTAACGGTTAGCGCCTATAGATTAAGTCTTAATGTCGATGTAACTCAACTGGAGAGATAACACATAAATAAAGGAAGTGAATTTCTCAAGAAACTGTGGTGCTGCGTCGGTAGAGGGCATTACAAGCCCTTCGTCAGAACGATTACGCTAAAACGTCAGCTTAAGAATCCCTTTACGATGGCAATCTTCAATTGAGTGTCGAAAGTAATCCGACATTGCATTGGTTTTGCTTTACTTAGCTATGTGATAGTTCCAGAAAACTTGCGCTATTCCCTCAACCAATCAGATGCAAAACTGAAAGCAATCACGACTTGGTCGCCCGCGTTTTCCCGCGCTCTAGTCAGTTATTCTCTTGCCTATGATTGACAGTCGTGATTACATTGATTTTGCTTTTACGACACTCAATCAAAAAGCGCTCTATCGACTCAATTGATAAAAGCAGATTGTCTGGAAAGATAACCCTTTACTCATACACCTCAAATAACTTTTCATCTACGCAATTGTTCCCAGTTTCACTTTCTTTGGCCTCTTCCATCTATTTTTCCGCTTTAAGTCGGCAAGTTCCCCTTTCATCGCCATTAGGGCTCGAGGATCTCTTACATCGTAACCAAGCCTCTGCGCATTAATTTTCCGCAGTCTTGCCTCCTCTTTTTCCTTTTTCAATTTGGCTCTCTTTTCTCGCATCCTTTCACGATAATCGGCGACAATTTCTGGCATCTTGGCCATGTTTTCCGCAATTCTTGCTAGCCTAAAAAGTGAGTAGAAAGCCAGCAGTGTTATAGCTTGTTGTTTTATTTCTTCCCTTCAGAGAGCTGGGCGTAAAATTTTCAAGTCGTTTTCTGAGACATGCAAAATATCAGTCTTACGGGAGGGCAGATCGGCAAAACAGGAAGGCTTAACTAAAAAGCCACAAAAATATTCAAGGATGGAGAAAATTCACTCCAATTACAAATTAAACACTTGCATCAACCATGACAAACTCCCTTAAGCTCGGCCTTTGAATATGGGAATCAAATGAAAAATTTATTTGAAAGGAAGTTTAAGAAGAAGAAACTCAGTATTTTTGAGATGGCAGGAGTAGTTTTAAACTTCACAATAGGGTAAACGGTTTGACCTTGGGAGCATAATTGTCTGATTGTCTGGGTGAGAGTGGTCCTGGGAAGGAATGTTGTCGGTAGTAGTGACTGACATTTTAACAACCTATGCAGAGGTCATCATTGGAGTTGGAAGTTGTCATCTTGACTCTGATGTTGAGTTCCATTGAAGTTGTCGAAACATCAGTCTCTACTATGAACAAAAGTCCTTCACCAAGTTACTTGCATTCAGACATTCATACAACATGATAAAATATTACTTTGATCCTTTGACCTCTAAGAGTGACTGGCATCACATATCTCCCTACAATATCAGCCCTGAATCACATGTTAAGGTAACAAGAATAAAGGAAATGATCACCAACTTAAGAGGCTCTTGATTGTTAAACAAATTCTCCTTGTCAGCTACTTGGTAAACATTTAGAGAACAGTATGGAGAATATGCATACTGATATTAGAGTGTAAAGGGTTCATGAAAAATATAATAACTCACCTTTCCTCCTTTCGAATTGCTCGCTTGTGTCCTTTTGGTGTTCTATCCAGTCCCCTGTCACGCATTGGTCTCTCTGGCCAATAGAAGCCTTTAGCTATATATTCATTTCTTAAAGCTGCTAACGCTCTGGCATTGTACAAAGGCTTGTGCCATTTGCCGTCTACTAGTTGACCTTTGGACTTCCTTAGGATCTCTGCCACTTCAGGGTGCACTGTTAAAATAAGAAACAGATTAAAAACAAAAAAGGGAGTGTGTCAGACTAAAAGATCAGTGCACCAATGGCTTATCACAGTTCTGAACTGAGGAGAATGAAGCAACCACAAAGGGTGTTGTAGCTATTTAAGGCTTGAAGCTTCTTAAAGTTATTTTTTGGCATTTGGGACACACTTTAGTAGCTTTTGCTGATGTAAAATGGAGGTCGACACAAAGAGATTAACACAAGAATAAATGTACAGCAGGGATATGGTCACTAACTGAGGTTGCACTCTACCTGGTATGTGTTCCTCGAGTACAGGAGTTCCCATTCCACGGCTCTGCAATAAATGTGCAGGTGGATCAAGGTGTTCCTCTCTATCTATTTGTTCCTTTGCATCTGTTGCTTTGCTGCATAAATTTCTGAGTGAAAAAAAAAAAGAGTTTATTAAGCAAGCTACAGATTAAATTTGTATTCTGTAGTACAATACCCATGGAATATTTTTGGCTCTCCAAATGTTTGAAATCTCTCAAATTGGGTCTTAACTTCATCATCATAATAAAGTTCTTCTTCAATCACATAAATCTTGTCTTTCACTAGGAAGCCTTGGAGAAAATTTCAAGAGCTTTAGTTTCAAATTTTCCTGCTTGACTTTTAAGTCAACCTGGTGTTTTAAAGCTCTTGCCACTTTCAATATGCCAAAATTTGAACAAAGAAATTTGTCTGCATCAGAAGTTTCAGGTTGCAAGAGGGTCTGGCACTCTCTTATTTGTCATAAACCATTTTTTCTCCAAACAGGGTCAGATTTGAATGGCCTACACAGTAAAAATCTGTCCAAACTTCCCTCAAGCCCCCCCTCCCTCCCATGTGGCAAAGTTTTAGCCGGTTTCCCACACAGCAATGAGGTTAAAAAGTGTGTGCGCAAAAAAATAATATTAAAAACAATAAATGAATGAGGAACCAGACAGCAAACATCAAACATCAAACAACAAACAACATTGATGTCTGCTGTCAAACAGCAGACATCAATGAAGCAAGAAAAACTTTAAAATTAATGGCAGATTCATTGCATCTTAATATGATTACATAACATCTGAGTAAAACAGACGTAGGGTGCAATTAAGGAGGGCATGGAAGAGAGGTCTTCATTATCGGCAATAGCAATGACATAGCAGTCCTTTAAAAATTTCACTTGCGATCAATTGTTTCTCTTGAAAATGCAACTCAACCAAATTTCTCAAAGGGTTAGAATTGCTACCTTTGTCTCTGCAGCTCACGTGCAGTCACATCAGTTGATAGATTGCACGTGAGCTAGGAACAGTCCATCAATGACGTGCAGTCGTGTGAGATCATTCATGAATTCAAAGTACAATGTTCTCCAACTAAACGGAATTCATCTCAAGGAAAACCATAAGTGATGTTCATAAAGAAATTTTTTTTTCTAATGACAATAGGTCTTTCAGTTAAAAAATCTTTGCATGAGTTGTCGATAAAAAACTGTGTATATTTGAAGAGAATACCCTTACTGACTGATCACGCAGCCTTGTTTAGCCACTAGTTTATAATTATTAAGCTATTTAATTACCTTTGTATCTGTAATGTTCCAAATGTTAGCCTAAATGGGAGATTTTGAAGACTAAAAGAACTCCATAAGCGATTACAACTTCTACACATAAATGCTGCCAATTTGTTCGCCATCTTGGACTTGTCTGATGGTCACATGGGTAGTATTACCAAATACGGAAAATAGTTCCTAATAAGGAAAATACCTCCAGAAACTGTCGTTGACTAAAAATTATTTGGTAGTTGATATGGCGGAGGGCGACTTGAATGTGGACAGCATAATATCCCGCTTGTTAGAAGGTTTAAATTCTTTGTAATCTTTTCTAATTCCTTCACCTCGTGTAGATGAAATATAAACGTTACCTTTATTTTCTTAGCTCGCGGAAGACCAGGAAAGAGTGTTCAACTAGCAGAATCGGAAGTCCGTGGACTGTGTCTTAGATCCAGGGAAATCTTTTTGAACCAACCCATTTTGCTGGAGTTGGAAGCTCCTCTCAAAATATGCGGTAAGTAGGCTATGGTGAACCGCTGAAGCCCTTTGCAATTTAATCAAGTGTTACTGGACGTCTTTATCTAAGAACCAGATCCGCAGTCAGTGAGCAATGCCGAGTTGGAACGCGTAGCGTAGATTTTTCATGTCATTTCAGCTTTATTACTCGCCTTGTCTGGTCGGCTGTTCACTGCTTCTCCAAGTCTATTTCTTTTATATTAGATCACGTACTCAAAATTTTCGTGTCGGTCTGTTTCTAGAAGATCGGCATTGTGTTTGACGGAGTAATGATCGACGATTTGCATGTGTTGAAATCATCTCGTTGACCTTAGTCCTGAACTAACTTTGTTTTGCAGCTCCTAAAACCTCTGATTTACTTCGAGGAACTTCGAGGAATTTTCAAACCAGGGAAATATATTAAAAAGACTTGAAATAAGTAATTCGTACTTTCTGATCATCAAAACGCAAAAACGTAGTGAAATATTCATCTGCGCTTGTAATTTTCGAGCCTGACGAGGACTTCTAACAAACAAACATGAACGAACTTATCAAGGTATGCTTTGGTCTTGTTCACTGAAAAATTATCGTGTTGATATTCTTCGAAAGCTGTGTAAAAATACCACGTTATTTATTTTTTTTTTACCTGAATTACAAATATTCCCGTCTATTCGTGTAGATCGTGAATTGGATATTTTATTCGGGAGTTCCCGAGTTTAAGTTTGATCTATTAATTTGACATGATCTCGTTTATTTTGTGTCTTTGGTATGTAGTTTTCGATGATAACTCTCGATGAACTCTTTTTTTCGCTGCTAAATCGCTGATTATTCGAGTAAGCAAGTTCATACCAAGGTGCAATAAAAAACTGTCAGGGAACAAATGAAGTTTAATTCAGAAAATCAAGCTGTTCCTAGATTACGAATAAATGCCTTCGGGTACGAATATTTTTACATTTCTCAGGAAGAACTATAGACCAAGATTTTGGACAGGCAACAAGAATTGAACCGCGGGTGTAGGCTTTTAATTAAGAGGAAGAGACCGAAATTGATTAAAAAAAAGGTTGCTGTTGTCATCGACTTCTTGTAACGTTGCGAGAGTTCTTTGCTAAATGCAAATAAATTTTACTGTAGCGACTAATTGTACGGAAGTTGCAGTAGATATGCTTTTGTCATGGTAATAATAGATCGGTAATAATTCCGTGTAACTTGATATTGTTTACAGAAACGTAAACTATGGTACTTACTTATCTCCCTTCAACATTGCGTCATGAGTTTCAAGATCGCCTTTCGAATTGTTCAGGGCCTGTCTTAAACAGGCGAAAAAGAGAACAGGAGTTTCATAGAAGAAAACACGTCTTTACTTGAAAATAACATACTAGCCGCCGTACATCAGAATTTTGTTTATATCGAAATCTAGGTTACGATGACAGCATGATTCTCCAAGATGTTATTGGAATCTTGTTTGATCATCACAAATTGCTGTACTTTCATTTTCCATCCGTTTTCAATAGTACCTGCAAGCTATTCTGTTCTCATATGAATTCTTTCGGAATTACAGAATCACTAGAAACTGCTCCTGGCAGATGCATCTATATTGTTTAATATTCTGAAGAGAGGAAAAAAATCATTAATCAAAAAATCAATAACATGGGTGTTAGGGTTAGTTTAGGTTAGTTTGTGCTTAGTCACAAAAGTACAACAAGAAAGATATTTTAAGGTCATATTGTCATTGGTGGTTTTGATGGTTGTACATCACTTAAATGTGAAAGGTTGGGATTAATCATCACTGTCTCTATGTTTAACCAAAACAGAGTTACATGTTTATGATACAGACAAAGAAATTTTCCTTTGCATATGTAGTTTTATTGAACAGTAAGTTTACCATGTTATGTGTGTTAGTGTGAATAATTCTGGTCAGCATTTCAAAATTCTGGAGCAAGAAGTTTATGGTTGAGGGACAGTTTTATGTTGAAGAATTATAAGTAAATCCTCAGTATAGGTATTGTTTTTAAAGACTTGATATCTTAAAGCACATCATTATTCATCTTTTCTAGCAATATTAAGGTCTGATGTTGCCTATATGTAGTTACGTGTGTATGTGTTAGCACACCTCTCACAGAGGGCTTGAGAAAGAGCAATACTTCAATGACAATTTATTGAATGTTAAGTATCATTTCTTGACACAGATGAATTACACAAACAGCACTTTCTAATCTAAAGGAGGGGTAATCAATCAAAAAAAGCAATCTTGTGTCTCAGTTTCACATTTCATGGTGTGACACTTACGTTAAAACTAACTTGGATCAGGAGCATGTTTTGTCTAATTGCTTTTTTTAAATTTTATCTTCTTATTTTGCAGGTGACATTCATGGACAATACACAGATCTTTTAAGATTATTTGAATATGGAGGCTTTCCTCCTGAGGCAAACTACCTGTTTTTGGGTGATTATGTGGACAGAGGAAAACAGTCTTTGGAAACCATCTGTCTGTTGTTAGCCTATAAGATCAAATATCCAGAAAACTTCTTTCTGTTGCGAGGAAACCATGAATGTGCTAGCATTAACAGAATATACGGCTTCTATGATGAATGTGAGTATGGGCAAAGCAAATCGGTTGAAAATAAATTTCAATGTCAGAGTTATTCTTCTGCAACATAATTTTTGGATCATGGGAACTGATATATGTAGTTCAACCCCTCTGGAAAATCCCTGTGGCTGGATTTGTGCTACCACTTTTGGATGTTTCTTTACCTTTCTGAAACCTTTTTTCTTTTAATTTCTTTGTAAATGGTTCTTTCTATGGTGATGTTGTTAATGGGGTCCTGAAAAGGAGGTTGAATGAAGTCTTCTCAAAAATTTTGTAGTTTTTTAATTCCAAAAATAATCTTGATCGAGTGCCATTATTGGCTAAATGAAATTGCTTTGTGTTGTATTTCACAGGCAAAAGGCGGTATAACATCAAGCTGTGGAAAACCTTCACCGACTGTTTTAACTGTTTACCAATCGCTGCTATAGTGGATGAAAAGATCTTTTGCTGCCATGGGGGTGAGTAGAGATTTAATCAGTCATGATCATAAATCAATGATAATTTTCTTGGCTGATGTATGTATTCTGAAATAAAAGTGTATTGTTTATTTTGGGGTGGGAACTACATCTAACTATCTATGACTTATCCTCTATATAACTTTACTTCTTATTATCCCACATCTTTGAAAATTTAAAAATATTTCTTTTCTTTTCTCTTCAATTTTCTTCTGCTTGAATGGAGATTTGAAAACATTAGTCTCCAGCGAAAACTCCAGTCATCTTGAACTGCAAAGATTTGTTTCAGTCTGCTAAACTCAAAACACACTAAAGTACAGAAATGTATTGTTTAATATTTTGAGGTTTTGATTTCATAACCTTATCTCAGCCTCTTGTTTATTTGTTATGGTCTATGTTCACATCTATTTTCTTACATTGCATGCTTTCATCATCTGTTTGCTTGCAGGTCTCTCACCAGATTTACAGTCTATGGAACAGATTAGAAGAATCATGAGGCCCACAGATGTTCCAGACACTGGTAAGAAGTGAATAGATTTATGTTATAGAGACAACAGACCTAAAAGAAACAATGTTGTTGCTTATTCAAGAGTTCAATCTGCTCCATGAGATATGGAGCCACTTATTTCTTAACTTAATGTAAACATTATTAGCACTTAATTGTGTACAAGTTTCACTTTTCTCCTGGGTAACAACAGTGTATTCATAAGCTACCTTTTCTTTTTCTAAATTGAATCTTTTCCTTCAGTTTTCCCTCACTGACTGATTTTTTTTTCCTATATACCCACAGGTCTTCTTTGTGACTTACTTTGGTCAGACCCAGACAAAGACACAAATGGCTGGGGTGAAAATGATAGAGGAGTTTCCTTTACATTTGGAGCTGATGTAGTGAGCAAATTCTTAAACCGTCATGACTTAGATCTCATATGCAGAGCTCATCAGGTAAGGTTTGGAATTACACTGTACATGTTCACAGCAGAAAGTTGTACAATCTGAGCAAAATATATAAATTGGCCACTGTTAAGAGTTTCTAAAGCTGAGTTTTGAGTTTCAATCCTTTATGTTTCACTCTGATAGAAGGGCTAGCACTCAGAAAGTCAGGTTTAGAAACTTTTTACACTGGCCAATTTACATTATCAACTCAGTTGATTAGCCAACTGTGGTAACACAGCACCACAGTTTCTTTAGAAACTTACCCCCTTTATTCAGTTATAAATTGCCCTCTGTTTCTTAATTATGTAACAAATTTCAGTTTTTAATCATGGTCTCTCTTTAGGTTGTGGAAGATGGCTATGAATTTTTTGCCAAAAGACAGCTAGTTACGTTGTTCTCAGCACCCAATTACTGTGGAGAATTTGATAATGCAGGTGGAATGATGAGTGTGGATGAAACCCTGATGTGTTCTTTCCAGGTATGAAAAGCACAATCTTATCTGTCAATTTGGCACATTTTGTTGTTTTGTTACAACCACTTGCCTTGCACTGCAAACCATTGGGTCGTTACAAATTGATATTTGATTTAAGATTTCACACGTACAGGCATACCAGTAGAGTATTTTGAGCACAATTCAAGTCAAGAAAAGTGTCACTTGCATTTCATACCTTGTATACAAAAGGTACATGTAAGTTCGTCATTCAGAGCCCCAAGCCATGCAAGGTTTACCATTTTCTGGCCTCACATTGGTTACCAGAAATACTATATTAGTCGCCAGGAAAAACCAAACAAAGCAGAAACAAATATGTGATGTCAAATGACCCTGTCAATTGCTGCTATCATAACTCTGAAATCATTGATACCATGTAAACCTTCAAGACTTCAAAACTACTAAACTACTATAGCATTTTCATCACATTTTATGAAGTTAATTGTTTAATATCTCATATTGCATGGACAGACACAATGATGATGCCATTTGGAATAGAATGAAATTGTAAAGTTTTGCATTTTTCCCTCAGATTTTGAAGCCATCAGAAAAGAAAGCCAAGTACCAGTATGGTGGATTAAACTCTGGCCGACCTGTCACACCTCCAAGAGGTCCACCAAAAACAAAAGGAAAGAAATAGGCTTGAGATTTAGTTGGCAAGCCTTGCTTCTTCTACTGAAAGGACTCTAAACTTGTTGTTTGTGATACAAGTTATCAAATCCTCCTCAATACTGAGATAGTTTTGTTTATTTTTGGCAAAAAGTCAACTCCTCCTATTGGTGTCGTAGATACCATGTTTACTGCAGTTTCTCAGAATGGAATGGTCTGTAGATCATTCACAAGTTATTTGTGATAAAATTATTTTAGCTTACCTTAAACAGAGTACATTTGCCAGACAATTGGTTTATCCTTTTACTTATTTATCTGAAGTTCAGTTTGTCGTGTGTTTGTGTGTTTTGTCTGGCATTAAAATGTTTTATAATTGATTGAGAAAAGTGAAGCTTCTTGGCCAAGGTTCAGGAATTTTTAAAGTTAAACAGTGCACTTAGCACACTTAGCAGTTTCTTCACAAAGTCAGTGGTAGATGAAATTGAGTTAAAACTGAAAGATAGCTTTGAGTGTGATGTTCATGATAATGATGTGGAAAGATAACCAGCCATTTCTAAGCCCTCTGCCTTAAATTTATTGGCTGCTTATCTATTCACTTTTAGTCAGAGTTCTGGAAGGTTTTTTCTTTCCTAGAAGTTACAATTTCAGTTTGTAGTTATTTTTGATCACAGTACAAATTAGATGTTGCAGTTTTATTCCTCTGTAAACCTACAACTGAATTTCAAGGTGCAAAAAATAGATAATTTAATTAAAATTTTGTTGCCATCAAACAGGACTATACTGAGTTTACTTGGTATATATTTCTGTTGTAATTCTATTCATATAATGGGCAAATGAGGCACATAAATCTGTAACTTAAGTTGTGAAAAAATGAAGTAGCAGTAGCAGTTACTGGTACAGATCATGATTGATTCTGAAAGTCTGTGTGTTTTCCAAAGAGGATAGTCCTGATGCACCTGAAATATTGGATGCTACATGTATTTCCACCTCATTAGCAGAAAAGGAATTTGCACAGTTGATAAATAGTTTAACAAAGGATAAAGGATGTGGTCATGAGCCATCTTAAGGTTTCAACTACAGTCTGAGTACTTCAACAGACGTTATTGGTTCAATGTTGCAATCATTATTTTTTTCATGAAAACAGTAATAGATTGTGGTTGATCTGCCTGTCTGTGTTAAATTTAGTTTCACAGTTATGTTCATAAAGTAGATGAAGTTACATGTACTGAAATTTTTATTTCAACCACAGAATGTAACTTTTGTAGATTGTAAATCCAAGAGCAACTCCATGTTAGAATCTACTTTTCAAAGTTTTGAATGCTAAAACTTGTAACAATATAACTTGAGCTCCTTGTAGGTGAGCCTTGTACTAAATTGCATAAGGCAAGATAGCCTGTATTGCAGGCAGAGTTGATTGCCAGAGAAGTAAATTTTGACTTTGTCTTCAATACAGACTGAAGATGGTGTGCTTTTTTGCTACTGTCAGTGTTTCCGAGGTAAAGCCCTTAATGCCCAAGATCTGTTTGTTAATTCTCCCCTGTAACTGTAGTACATTTCCTAAATTAGTAATGAGAATTTGGTGTTTGATAAAGAGAACAGCTTCTGCTTTATAAGCATTCTCATTACCTGTGTGCTGGACAGTGTTGGATGTTAAGTTTCATGTTGATTGCCACTGGAAGTTAGAGAGTTAAGAGAAAAGAGAGATATTGATAGCTTTAACCCTTTCACTCCCACAAGTGACCAAGACAGAATTTCTCCTTACAATATCAATACAATATCATGCAGGTAGGTGATGAGAATAGAGAAGAATATCAATCATGGGATCATTAGCTGATCCAATACCAAATTCTCTAAACTAACATCATAAGAATTGTATGGTAGATAGTAAGGAGAATCACTAATCAGATCTTGGGAGTGAAAGGGTTAAAAGGATGATTTTCTTCTTTCCCAGTTGAATGTCTAAAATACATTGTTAAAGATTTGTAAATTGCATACTTAAAGCTTCCTTGTAAACAACTCTGTGACTTCTCTCAATCTCTGAAACTCCTTGCTCAAAGATGTGGACAAAGAGATTGTGTGACTTTGTAGGAGCATACTCAAGCTCAAGTTGTACTCTAAGTATTTCATGTGAACCAGTACAAAGGACTGTTTTGTAGATGCAAACACTAGAGAGAACTAGTAACAATAAAAACACTTCTAACTTGGCAACAGCATTCTTTGATTTCTCCTTGAGTTGTATAGGAGTTAAAAGATTTTTCAACAAACTCTATTTGTTATTTTCCAGTATTTGATCTGCCGAGTGTGAGAGAAATGGAAAAAATTAGGTCCTTGTGTTTTGAGGCTTTCTTTTATTTTGTTCCAGCTGAGCTAAACTGATTTCTAATTTAAACAAGACAGATGTCCCATCCTGTGAAAGCTTTCCCCCCTTTCTGTAATGTGAAGCAACAATGTGTATGGTAACTTACCCCTCAGTGGGTAGTAAGCCATGTCAATGCATGGTTACCCTCTGTATTTCCTCAGGTTTATCTGCTTTCAATAAACACACCTGGGTGAAGAGAATGCACTTTGAAAGTATAGTGTCTCCCTGAACCCAATTGTAAGAGGACTAATGCAAAACATTGGACTCCCTTAGATTCAGACTAATCAAAAAGTTTTTGACCTTTACCATTTATTTTCATCCACTAACATGCATGCAGCACTCCTTACACATGAACACTTCAAAACACAATTTGAAGAGATGCAATACAAACTTTTCGTTTCTGGACAGCTTAGATACATTTTTGTACACAAGAAAATTTTTAATAAATGCTGAGAGCTTGTAGAAACTGCACAAGATTCTGACTTGCCCCATAAAGACTTGTAAATGCCAGAGGTGAAGTCGGAGTTAAAGAGTTCTCAGAATTGGCTTTGATCATTTCACTCTGTAAAGAACCTTTCTTTGAAACCTGTGTTCAAGCTCTCCTCTCCTCAGCATTATGTAAATAACTGTGTGGATTGCTCGTTCAGAATATTTCTGTGAAAACAACAGGAAAAGAAAAATAGGCATTATCAGTAGACAATTTTATTGCTGTAAACTTGTTCATCAAGTCAAAATAAAACCAGTAGTAATGTTAACTTTACAACAAACAGAAATGTTGATTGAACCTACCTGTTTGGCAAAATCTTGGATAATTCTCTGCTCTGAAACCTACCAGAAAAAGGAAGCAGTTATTAATATTAATAGCTAAGATTAAAAATAGCAGGTAATTGATGCATATTGCTGGTTTAATGTAATATAATAACCTGACAAAAGGCCTGATAAATTATCTTAAAAAGAAGTAATTGCTGAAAAACGTTCTTCACCTTACAGCGTTGAAACCTCTTCAAGAATTTGAGTCCTAATTTGATTAGGAGTGGTACACTGGAAACATCAATAGTTTTGTTAACTTATGGAGTGCTCTTTTGACAGGATCATGCCAACAATAAGTATTACCTGAGTGCCGATGGCAAATCTCTTCCTTATTTGCTTTTCAATTTGTCTAACTTCCTCAACATCCTGTTCGGGTGTAAAACCTTCAGCTCCTGAAAGGTGTTTATCAATAATTGCTTGTAAATATCTAAACTACAACAACTTGCATCTACTACAGTCATGGCCCACACAAGAGTGTTAAATTTATCAAGCTCATTATTAGTAGGGAGCCAAAAAAATTTTTCCCTCTCTCGTCATGCCAATGTCTGGATCTACAAACAGTATTTAGGCTGAATTCTGGGCTCTATCAGGCTCAAGATTTTTGTATGGGAATGACTAAACCAGCCCTTACACCCTGACCTTTCAACCTAGTGGGCACTTGTCCCTGCTGATCTATTAAAATTGTGATTTACCTGAGAGGCTGCCTGACATGGCAGCATCCAGAGTTGACACCTGGAAGAGCCTCAGGGCTTCTTCAACATGCACTGCAGTAGCAAATGGTTGTAACCTCATTTTTGCCAGTGACTCTGAAATTCTGATGATTGCCTCCAGTTGTCTGAAAGATGGATACAAATTAAGTTACCAGTATTTAAATCTTAATCTACAAGTCTACTTCCACTAAATATAATTGAAATCCGTACCTGACAGTTATAGGTATGTTGATCTTTTTTTCAGCATCTTTCTCATAATCTCGTGCTCCACTTCGCATGAGAACATAGCGATTCTTCAGCATCTGAGCAGCTTCCTCAGAAAGCCTTGGGCCACATTTGCTATTAAAATATAAAAACAGAGTTGGCTTGAGCAACACTACATAAAGAAACACAGATGAAGCCACAGAATATCTCAAGCAAGCTGATGACATACTTCCGACAGTAACCAATGTACTTCTTTATAAAATTCAGGCTCAGCTCTCCCTCTTGTGCTTGTCCTGTTTGAGCGGCATTCAAATGAACTTGCATGACGTGTTTGGCAAGGCGCTGACAGAAGGGATTGGAAGGGAAAAAAACACATTTTCTCAAGCTTCTTGAAAGATTAATAAGAACCTAGCATTGATGTCCAACCTCATAAATTATAGAATGATTTTGTTTACACCAGTGTATAATAGTATTTCATATACAATAATCTTTTATTAGTTCATTCATTTGAACATGAGTGGTACACAACAGTATAAGGATGACCCTTCATACTTTCACCCTTTAACTCCCACAAGTGATTAACTTGCAACTTCTCCCTACAATATCTGTACATTATCCAGCCACCAGGTAATGAGAATACTCAAACTTATCAGGAAGAAGTTGTTACCTTGACCTAACACCAAATTCCCATAACTTATTTACAAGGAATTGTGTACCAGTTAGAGGGGAGAATTAACAATCAGATCTTAGGAGTTGAAGGGTTAAATCATAATTTTCATTACTATAGGTGATATCTTACCATGTCTTTATTCTGTTCATGTTCATCCTTGACGATATAGATCATATCAAAACGTGACAAAATTGTTGGCATGAAGTCTATGTTCTGGCAAACAAAGAAATTTCTTACATCAGCAAACATTCACTATTATGCAAAAAATTAAATCAGATATAAACAGAGTATGGAAGGTAGTTATCAGATGGACTACCTCTTCTCCCTTGGTTTCATCCCAGCGACCAAATACAGAGTTTGCTGCGGCCAACACAGAGCATCTTGAATTCAATGTTGTAGTAATTCCAGCCTACAAGATATAAAAGAATTGCAAAAAAAAAGTTGATTGGCAAGAAGTCTTTGAAAGTTTCTTAAAACACTTTCTACAATTGACATACTTTGGCAATTGAAATTGTCTGCTGTTCCATAGCTTCATGAATGGCTACACGGTCATCTTCACGCATCTATAACAGCACAAAACCATAAATCACCTTAACATCAGAATCTATATTCTCCATACTTTTCTTCATACATTTCCTTTGGTAGCCACAAGGAGAATTTATTTAACGATCAAAGCCTCTTAAATAACCCATCATTTCCTATATTCTCACAACAGTAATGAGTGACTCAGCACTATTACTTTAAGGAGAACTTAGATGCTGGTCACTCTTAGGGTTAAACCCTTCAACTCCCAGATCAAATTTGTAATTCTCTGTACTGTCAACCATACAATTCTTACAATGTTAGTTTAGAGAATTTAGCATTGGATCAACTGATTATTCCCAATTTGATATTTTTTCCTTACTCTCATCACTTACCTCATTGATATTTTATTGATATTGTAAGGAGAAATTCTGTCTTGGTCACTCATGGGAGTTGAAGGGTTGATGGGGGTTTCTAAACTGGATGATACCTGTCTGTCATAGCAAATTTGTCTCATCGCTACTTACCTTGTCAAACTCGTCAATGCAAACTACACCTCCATCTGCGAGTACCATGGCTCCTCCCTCCATAATGAAGTTACGTGACACAGGATCCCTCATGACAGATGCTGTCAATCCTGCAGCACTGCTTCCTTTACCTGATGTGTACACACCGATTGGAGAAACCTTCTCTACAAACTTCAACAGTTGACTCTTAGCAGTACCTGGGTCACCAAGCAGCAAGACATTGATGTCTCCACGTCGTGTGAGTCCATCAGGGAGCCTGTGGATGATATTAGGATGCAGTTAGCAAAGAGCAATTGGGAAAACACAGGCATTATGTACCATAATAACCATTTATCTCACACCTTTTACGAGACCCTCCAAACAACAGACATGCAATGGACTTCTTGACATCTTCACTTCCATAAATAAATGGCGCAATACTTTTTGCTATTGTCTCATATGCATCAGTTCTGCTGGCAAATCTGTTGAACTCCTCTTCTTCCAAGGGATTCAGGGGTGCCCCAGAGCTGCGACCAGGACCTTCTGTATCCACCTGAATGCCAACAACACGAAGGTATGGCTTCCTGATACCAACACCCACACCATCACGATCCTGACAAAAGAAAGGTAAGGATTGTTAGGTGTCAGCTGTATAATCCTTTCACTGCTGGGTGTTTCAGAGACTGAAATTGCTGCTTCAACTGTTTTTCAACATGTAAGGAAAAATTTGATTTATGACCTGAAATTATTTCTGCCTGGTTGAATGAAGCAAGTTTAAACATAATAAATTATGTTCCTAACTAATTGTGAAAGTACAAATTAAATACTCTGACTAAAGGAAACACGTAAAAAATATTTCCCAGTAATGTTTCTTCTTATTTCAGCTGCTTGTTATGACAATACCCCGAGGCCCTTTTACAGACAGTGTAGCAATTAAGTACAATTCTTCTGATCTGATTTGCAACTTTGAGCATCTTACCTTGTCAGCCTTTTGAGCAACTTTTTTGATTGAATAAATACCCATCACAGTGACTCTGTTACCAGGAACAACCTTCTCTGTCAAATACCTTCAAGAAATAAAAAAAAAATAATAACATGAAGCCCAACTTTAACCCTTTAACTCCCAGATCTGATAGTCAATTCTCCCCTCCAGCTACTACATATTTCCTCTTAAATTAGTTACAAGAATTTGGTGTTAGATCAAGACAGCAACTTCTATTCAGTATGTTTGAGTATTCTTATTACCTGTTTATTGGAAAATGTAAGCATATTGCAGGGAGAGGTTAGATTTAATCACTTCTGGGAGTTAAAGGGTTAACTAGAAATTACAGATTTGAAGGAGCTGTGATGGGCTTAAGCCTTTAACTCTCATGAGTGACCAAGACAGAAATTCTCCTTACAATATCAAGCAGACAAGTAATGAGAATAAAGAAACATATAAACAAGGGGATTATTAGTTGATCTAACACCAAATTATCCAAACTTACTTGATAAGAATTGTATGGAAGACAGCAAGGAGAATTGCTGATGAGATCTTGCGAGAGAATGGGAGAAAGGTAGGATACAAGACTCTTAGAAGATCCTAATATCTACCCAAGACACATTTCTGAGTGAAGCAATCTTGCTTAAAGTCCCTTTCCCTTGCTTCACAAGCCATACTGATCTTCAGCTGTTGATGAGCTTGAAAGAATTAGCCCTTTAAGTTTGTTTGTTTGTATCAACAATTATAATGATAAGTGCATACCGGTCACAGTACAACTGCATGTGCCGTGGCATTTCACCATTAGGGACAGCATCTGGAGATTCTTGCAGCTTCAGTACTTGGAAGTCAACACATTTGCATTTATCAGGCATGATAAAAAATGGATCCAAAGGACATGGTGGACGACCTGCTTGGTCACTGTAAAACACAGATGTAATTAATCATTGTCATGATATAACAAAGTACTAAGAGAAAAAGCTGTAAAACTTCCCAGAGCAGGTTCTGTTTAAAGGGACAAAAGAAATCTTTTGTGGCTATATTATCCTTGAAGCTTCCTGCCACCACTAGCTCATTTTCAATACTGAAAGTTACACTGCTTTTCCCAATTTTATCCACTTAGTTTTGAAGGAAAATTGTAGACTGCACTGATTATCCACTGATTGTTGTGTCAGCTATTATTCTTCAAACAACTGTGAAGAGGTGATTTCCCATAAAATAAGTATAAAGTCTATTAATAAGCCAGTATGAACCAGAGTTTACCCAAGGGAGGGGATCTTAAGTTTCATTCTTAAGTTTCATTTGTCATCCCTACCTGCCAATACCCCCTCATTATTTTGTGATAGGGGAAAGAAAAAAAAAATTTAAAAATTAAAAAGAATGGCATACTCTCAAACTCCTACCCTCTTTAATTCTAAATTCCATAAATCACAAAATTTTAAACTCCTAAAAATACAGGTAAAGATCCCCCTGCCCCATTTTACCAATAAAAAAATTTTTCCCTAGGCATAAGATCAGAGAGACAGATTATACCTTGGGCATTTGCGAGGCATTGCATATCCCTCAAGACCTGGCTTTAGAGGAATGTTGGAGATTGTGTTGCGACAAGAACGGCACTGGATTGTAATGTTAGTTGCCTTGGCACGAATGGCAGAGGCACTGATGATAATGCCTGGAATCTTTACCAATTTAGCCATTTGCTCAGACTGAAAATAAAGCAAATTACAAATTAGGAATAAGGAATAAATAAAGAAGTTATCACTAGTTTAGGACTGGAGGCTTCAACTAGCCTGGTGTGATTGTTATTGCCTCCAAAGCTTCAAAGGAATCAATAAGCCTGTACGTGAAAGAATGGGAATGAATTGCAGCCAGTGAAATTCAAAAACATACTCGCAGCTCCCTGACACTCATGGGGTTTGCCTCAGACTTGAGAGTGATCTGAATATCCTGTACTTCCTCTTCTCCTAAAGGCCGTGGCTTAGTCACCTCATCTGCCATTTCTTTTGCTGCATCTTCAAACTATAGAATGTTAAATATCACAAAATAGATTTTTTAACAAAGTTTGGGATATGATTGTTTTAAAAAAGAATTTTTTCATGTAAGCTTCTCCAAAAACCAAAGGAAAATGAATGGCAGTCAGATGGGAGAATTACTGATCAGATCTTGGGTGTATTAAGGGTTAACAAAAAGATAATGGCATGATGTACCAATAAATTCTCCAAAAGTATCATATGCTATTAAACACTAGTCGTAAGCCATAGGACCGTAGAATGTCGTGGGAAGATGTTCTCTTAGTGGGGAGGGAATCTTGGGAAGACATTTACAAGTGGAATAACATGATGCATAAGCTGATAACAAAACAGACTTCACCCTGATTCAAAAGTTCAACTCCAGGTAAATTTAGTTGGAACGTTCTTGATGAGCCTTTCCCTTTCAAATCATAAGTTCGAGGAAATTTGATCTCATGGGGGTTAAAATGAAATGGACGAGCTAAATACAAATAAGTCAAAGAAGAGATCCGAATTTTGCTTAAATGTACAGGAAGTTAGCTACGTATACTCACTAAAGGCAGGAATTCTGCGGGACTTTTGGTGAGTTTATCAGCAAGTTGCTCGTCAAAGCTCGTCAAATCTTGCAAATCTACTTCAAGGTAAAACTGTCCCAAATTATAGTGTCTCTTAAGCTGATCACTGAACGAGAAAGAAAGGATAAACATATATATTAGCGACGCAGATTTGATTTCAGACGATCGATCGAACTTGGGCAAAATATTTCGTTAGCAAAGCACATGGCAGCCTCGCTGAAAAACCAACGGCGAGATTGAAGAATACAAACCCTGATTCTTGTCAAATTATGAAAATAAACGACTCTAGGAAAGCTGTACTACATGTCTTTTTAAAATTATAGGCTTTAAAACTCAATTATTCTACGGTATAGCATGATTTTGTTTTCATAGGTTAACTTTCGTAGAGCATGCTATAGTGCGCCATTTTGCTCACCGATACGCGTAGCTGAAAGTTCCTTCGTGGAATTCACGGATAAACTCCCTAAATCGCTTCTTGGCACTGATTCTGTTGACTTCTCGCTCATCTGCTTGTTCCTCTGAACCAAAAGCATCGCTGAAATAAACCGGGCGCTCGTCAAATCCAGACATTTCTGCGAAAAGTTGCCAACTGATCACTACTTGCTTCTTCCCGGGAGAACAAATTTGGCGGGAAAACCAGGGCAATTTTCTTTCGTGATTGGCAGCTCTTCAGATCATGTGATCAAATAGTCATAGAGTAACGTTCTTGCCGTGCCAGGGATATGAAAGTAGTTTTCGCCTCCTCTCCGCTGGAATACCTTGGGAACTCGCACAGTTTAGTGTTGAGAAAACTTGTAAGTTTTGAAAAAAAAGTGCACTTTTCCTTCAAATGTACGTTGTCCATACTTAGCAAAGAACAATTGCCAACCACTGGAAACGAGGGACGTTAGGTCAATTATTGCAAGGGGTGGGGGCGGGGGCGGGGAGGGGATGAAAAGTCTTCAGTTTGCTGTTAATAATAGCAGCGAATTGAGTAGCAGCTGCACTTCATTTAAATTTCAGCGCCTGGATTTCTCTGCTGTTAAAGGCAGTAATAACTGCCCGAAACATTACTGCGACTAGTTACAATTTTGTGACCAGGGAATACTCTGGAAAATTGAAGCCTTCTTTAAAATAAGGTATGTATGTATGAACAGTAAAAGTGTTCAGAGATCTTCAGAGAGCCTTCGTTAACTCCAAGTAATGCAACGCACAGCTTAAATGGCACACAACAAAGAAGGGAAATTTATAGCCAACACAAGAGTTTATGTTTTGAGTAGCTTGATTAAGTACACAAGGATTACAAAAGTCGCTATGAGTTTATTCTACATTTAACAATGAATGAACAAAACTACCATATAAACATTGATGTAAAACCAAAAAGCCCATGGTTGTTGAGCTAAGGCCTTCATTGAGCAGTTCTCAAATATAATAAATAGATTCAGATGTACAATTAACTTTACTTTAGAAGCAATTTTACAAGCAATCGATCACTATCTACCAAAACCTTGCAAAAGTTATAGCATTTTCTCAACTACTGATACACACGAAATATGAATTAAGGAATGAATACTACATTAATGCTTTAACCTATTGAAATATGAGTCTAAGGAAACATTCAAAGGCGGTTTAGGCCCCGGGAAGATGTAATGCCCTTTTAAATATCCATACCCTTTCAACAGAGGTTTCATTCCTTTGACAACCCTTGCCCATCACAAATTCAAATCTTTCTTCTTATTCACCTTTGAATAAATAAATAAATGGAATAACTAAATGGGATTTTGGCAGTGGACATTCCAGTAGGTGGCTCTTCTTGTCTGCTGTTTCCCATTCAAATTGGAATTTTGAATGTTGGTTTTTCTACTTTTTACTATTGAGATATGAGTCTAAGGAAATTTTTAAAGGTGGTTTGGAACCTTGGAAAATGTAACACCCTTTTAAATGAATATCTATACCCTTTCAATAAAGGTTTCATTCCTTTGAGAACCCTTGCCCATCACAAATTCAAGTCTTTCTTCTTATTCGCCTTTTAAATAAATAAATAGATAAATGGTAATAAATAAATGGGAATTTAACAATAGACATTCCAGTAGGTGGCTCTTCTTGTTCACTGTTTCCCTTTCAAACTGGAATTTTGAATGTTGGTTTTTCTGGAAATAAGAAAATCTGAGGGCCTGCAGAAAAACTCTTAGAGTAAGGTTTTTTGCATTTTCTCAACTTCAGGTATACATAAGATATAAATTAAGGCATGAAGACCACATTCTACTTTTACCTATTGAGATATGAGTCTAAGGAAATATTTAAAGGTGGTTTAGGCCCCTGGAAAATGTGACGCCTTTTTAAATATCCATACCCTTTCAATAGAGGTTTCATTCCTTTGAGAACCCTTGCTCATCACAAATTCAAGTCTTTTTTCTTATTCGTCTTTAAATAAATAGATAGCTTGGAATAAATAAATGGGAATTTAGTGTGGAAATTCTTGTAGGTGGCTCTTCTTGTCCACTGTTTCCCATTCAAATTGAAATTTGGAATGTTGGTTTTTGTGGAAAGAGGAAAACCTGAGGGCCTGAGGTATAAATTAAGGCATATATACTAAATTCTACTTTTACCTACTGAAATATGAGTCTAAGGAAATATTTAAAGGTGGTTTAGGCCCTTGGAAAATGTAACGCCCTTTTAACTGAATATCCATACCCTTTCAATAGAGGTTTCATTCCTCTGAGAACTCTTGCTCATCACAAATTCAAGTCTTTCTTCTTATTTGCCTTTAAATAAATAGATAAATTGGAATAAATAAATGGAATTTAGCAGTGGACATTCCAGTAGGTGGCTCCTTTTGTCCACCGTTTCCCATTCAAACTGGAATTTGGAAAGTTGGTTTTTGTTGAAGGACGAAAACCTGAGGGCCTGCAGAAAAATCCTTGGAGTAAGGCTGAGAACCAATAACAAACTAAACCCACATGTGATGCCAGGTTTGGGAATCACACACCTTTTCCTGTTAAGGTCTATTAGTTTCCTAAAGCTCATATCTGTGTAAATTAAGCATTAGTTATGAAGTCATTGGTCTGGTATTGGAAGAAACTGAGGATTGACTTGGGTTGCTTTATCAATTATGATTTGTCTTGAAATGATTGATGCTACAGTCAACCCTTGATTATCAGAACTCATGGGACTGGGCTGAGTAGTCTGGATAATCAAGAATATGACAGTCATTATTAACCCTTTCACTCCCATGATCTCATTAATAATTCTCCTTACTGTCTGCATATAATTGTTATGTTGTTATTTTGGAGAGTTTGATATTGGATCAACTAATAATCCCCTGAATAGTATTTTTCATTATTCTCGTCACATTTCCATTTGATACTGTACTGATTGTGTAGGGAGAAATTCTTTTTTAGTCACTTGTGGGAGTGAAAGGGCTAATGAGCCAAAATAAGACTGAACACGTCATTTAATCGAGATTGAGCAAGAATTAAAGTAAACTCTCTAATCATTAAGCATCATAGCCAAAATTTGTCAAAGTATTTACAATTAACCATTTTAAACAAAAACAATTTTTTGACACCCTTAAATGCTGATGTAAATCAGTTTGTTTCAAGATGCCACAGCTTGAAGTCATTGATAATTCTAACATTCTTTGAAGCTGCATTAATGGTTAGATGTTTCATGGGAAAAAGTTTTTAAGGATTTTGAATGTGACTAATTGATATTCATGAAAATATGGGACCAGAGAAAAATCTGCATAATCAAGATCTGAATAATTGAGGTTTGACTGTACCAAAATTTTCTTTGTTTCCATGAAAAGGAATCTCAATCATTGTTCAACAGGGTTTGATCAATATTTCATAAAATATTTCATATACCCTGGTACCACTGACACAGCTTCTAAAGAACACACTAAACTTAAGCTTGATGTACCTGTAGGCAAACACAAGTTAAGTTTTTCTTAGATAACTCAATTTCATTGTGATCAGCATAATTGTGAATCTTCTTTCTGCAAAGTTTCAAAAGATATCAGTAGTGAATTTTCAGAGCCACCTCCATAATGTTTGAGTTAAATTGGAACCAATTGGTACCATTTCCATGGCAAAGAATTAAAATTAATGGATTAAGGTGCAAACCTTTTTTTGGTTTCCTTAGACAAGACAATTTTAACTTTTATGGCTTCTGGCTCTTGGTTTGCAGGAACAATTTGGTTAATTAAAAATTGGAGGAGGACTTGTTGGCTCTCTCAATCCTGGTACCCACTTGTATTTTTCTTTCACTTATGCCCACCAAATGAGCACTTGGTATTGGCTAGCCTGTGACCTCTTAAAGTTTCAAATTTTGTCCAGCAAAAATTTGTTGGGTGGTTGGTGGACTGGCAGTTGAAGTGTGTTGCTCATTGTCAATGCCTTTTGTTTCCACTCTTCTGCTTCCTCTGGGTTTCCATTTTTTTTAAACCAAAAGGCCATTTGAGTCATTGCATAGATCTTAAACCTATGATTCTCAGTTAGTTCTTGTTCAGCAATTCTTAAAGATGCTTGAAATGATTTTTTTGCACCTTCCATATCACCTTGTAATTGATAGCACACTCCTAAGTTGGCGAGTAGCAGAATGCATTCTTTCTGCTCTTTAATACCAACACTTTTCATCATTTCCAGAGCTTGTTCATAAAGTTTGATTGATTTGCATTGGTCAGCAGCTGATCCTAGACTCTTCTCACCATGGAAGAGGTGAAAATCTGCAATTTTCCTCAGTAGTAGAGCAGTCATGACGTGATTGCCAAGATTTTCCTGAAAAAGCTTTAATGATGCCTCGAATTTTGCCTCTGCCTCATCACGTTTATTTTGTTGGTTGTAACTTTGTCCAGCATAAAGCAAACTTATACCTTTCTGTACAAAATCCATCAGTTTTAGATGTTCGCACACCTTCAAACTTTCAATGAATTGTTTTTCAGCTTCGGCATAGTTTTTCATTTCAGATTGGAACCGTGCATAAAGATTGCGAAAAAAAACTTCTGACACCTTCTCATTGTCAAATTCTTCAGAGTGTTTTGAGAATAGGTCTGCAGCCTCTTCAATCAACTTCTTGTAATTATCTTGATTACCAATTTTCCTATATTCAAGCACAAGGAGGCAGAGGAGTTCCACTCTTTTAGTAACAGGTTGTTGGTAAGACATTAAAAGCTGATTTAGCTCTTCAAGGTGATTCAAATATTCATCTGGTAGAATACACATTTCTAAAAATGTGCATGTCTGAGAAATCTTCTCCACTAACTCCTCCATAGATTTCTTCAGTTGAGGATCTTGTTCTTTTAGTCCTTTTATGAAGAACGGGAAGAAATACTCAAAGTTGTGCCTGTCCTCATTAAAAGAGTCAATTGCCTCTTTGCACTTGTCCTTGCTCCAGTAGCAAGTAGCAATTTTCACTAGATGGGAAATAAAGTAGATGCAGGCCGCTTTTTGCCCCTGCGGCTGTATGATTGAAGAATGGTTGGCTTCATCAATCCTCTTTGCAAATGTTTGAATGAGTGGATGGATTTGATATCTGTATTGGGCAGGTTTCTCAATAAGTGACCTGTCTTTCAAGGAACGGAGAATTATTCCAGGATCATCTTGACAACCAACTGCCTTAATAACAGCTTGGGCAGCAACATTACTGAATGAGCCTGGAAAAACTGACAGAATCACCAGAGCCTTTTGTTTATCTTCATTCAAAAAGTTGAAAGAAGTGTGAATTGCTTTTTCAACAGAATTTTCATCACTTTCATCCTCTTTGAGAACATCCAATGGCTTTTCCTCAAGGCGTTCAATGAGCTGATCTTCAGAATAGTCTGAAAGCAACGAACTTATGATGCATAAGGCTAAGGGTACACGACCGCAAAGTTGAACCAATTTATCTGTCTTGGAGAGCCCTTGTTTCACATCTGGATCAAGGACTTTGGACATGAGGAGTTCCTGTGCGTGCTCACGGGATAGTGTTCTCAATCTCACACATTCCATACGCAAGTTGAGGTCTAATTGAAATACTCTTCGAGAAGTGATAACAAATGAGATCTTACCGTTTGAAAGAGTTCTCATGTCCTTTAAAATGGATACAAATGCAGCTCGATCATCTGATTCGAGAACATCATCTGCGTTGTCCAGAATGAAAGAAACTTTCTTCTGCTGTTGTTTGCTCCAATTTCGGAGCCAATGTTGGGGATGTTCTGGTGGTTGAGAGAGGTTTGTACTGCACGGAAGGATCATCGAGGTAGCTACTTCAGCAATGGCTGCTTTAGATCTGAGTGAACAAAACAAAACTGTCCTCTCTTCATTCTCGTTGGATGCCAATTCGTGGCCCACTTCAATTGCTACTGCTGTTTTACCAAAGCCAGGTCCCCCAGTAACAAGAACTGCAGCTGCACGTTCAGTTCGAATTGCAACGATGATTTTTTCTAACTCTTCGGACCGGCCAACGACATTATTTTTATCCGGAAGACAGTTTGAGAGGCTACTTGTGGCTTGCCCTGAAATAGAAGCTTGAATAGCAGAAATGTCATTCTCTAGCTTGTTTAACCGTGGTTCAAATTCCATTTTCCACTTCTCTACTTCCTCGCTTACTCGACGTTCAGTGTCGTGATCAATAGGTTCAGTTGCAAGGCGATCTACTTCCTTCTGATCAAGTCCCAACGCCACCAATGATTGGGAAATCGTCTGCAATTTCTCTTGGAATTTGTCATTTGGAATACTGGTGGATATTCCATGACACAGCTCATTTCGAAGGAACTTAATCCGGACGATGTGAGCTTCTTTGCTGAGTTCAGTATCTGGAGGCATTTCGTGCCATCCTTTAGCTGGTGCAGTCAAACCACAAACTTCCCGTAGTAAGAGATGCAAAAGACTTATGTCAAATGTTAGAGGGTTTGGTGGAACACCGCTAGAAGGAAATAACTTCTTCCACTGATCATCGGTAAGTATGTTCTTTTTAAGTGACTTCAGGTAAGCAAGCCTTCCCTTGTGTTTGAGGAGCACGTCTTGCAGTGTTGGACAGGTGGATTTCATTAAATACTCTCTCAGGACGGTTGTGCCTCCATCGATTACCAGTCGTAAAAGTTTTGTGCCATTTGTTTTCTCCTCGGAAGAATCGAGAACAGAATTCATTTTTCTCACTTTTGCTCTAAAGGCTTAAAGACTATTCCCTTTTTTTATCGTTTAGCGTCGATTGCGACGCGTCGTTAGGATTGAAGAAAAAAAAAAAAAAGAATGCGGAAAAACATTTATATGACGTCTTTAGGCCTGGTACCCTGGCACTCCTAGAAGCCTGGAAACAACAAAGAAATCGATATGGCAGAGACCATTAAGACAAGGTGGAAAAAAGGATCAAACACAAATACAGATACAGATCTTTATTGAAGCTCCCTGAATGGGTTTTTCAGCATCAATACAAATGGTTAAAAGAAATAAAACTAAAATATAAAACTAAGGGGAATAAAAATATTGAATAATGAAGTTAACCTAATAGCAGCTTAGTTAATTGACGCTTAAATTTCTTGGGACATTTTTAACACTTAAGATTGCCGCCTAATGAGTTCCACAGTTTTGCTCCTCTTTAAGCAAAATACCTCTAACCAATTGAAAGGCGGTAAAAAGGTATATTCAGGGTACTAGCTGATCGAGTTTGCTTGTCATGAACACGAGAACGTAGCCTTAAATTATTTGCAAGGTAATCTGGCGCAAGATTGCTAATGCACTAGAAAACCATAGTCGCATCATTCAATTTCATCATTCAATAGGAGCCAATTCAATGGTCTTAGTCCTTCGGAAATATGGTCATATTTTCTAAGTCCCAGAACAATTCGTCTTGCAAAGTTTTGCAATTTTTGTAATTTGTCAATGTTGCTATTGCTGGTATTACTCCAGACGCTTGAGCAATATAATAATTTGCTAAAAACGAAGGCATTCATAAGTAACAACGGCGTTTCCTATCCAAAAGATGCTTAATTCTATTGATTTGTTTTAACTTAAATAGACAGTTTGAAACACTCTCAGTAATATCTTCGTTATAACTAAGGTTTGCATTCAGCTGAACGCCTAGGTCTTTGGCGACAGGCTCAGGTGATATTTGTTTATTAAAAAGTGAAACTCCTATGCGACATACCAGCATCCCTCACTTTTCAGCAGCTGCTTGAAAAGGAAATTCTGGATATATCAAACATTTGGAAGATTAAACGAGACTTACCTGTAAGTTGAAGTTTGATTGAGATTCTATCACATGACATCAGAAGGCGAGAGATCACATGAGATAGCACGGCGCTTGCGCAAGTCATAATTAAAAAGCCACGTACTGGGTGCATCGAAGATAGTATTCAGGCTGAAAAAGCCAAAGTAGGAAGAGATAGGCAACCAAAGTGCCCATGAGAGGGTGGGTGTGATAGTGGAGGGCATGTGATCTCTCGCCTTCTGATGTCATGTGATAGAATTTCAATCAAACTTCAACTTACAGGTAAGTCTCCTCCATGGTAAGATGCTGTAGATCCAGGTAATATATCGATTGCCCTCGTTGACTTGAAACTAATAAAATTAGCATAAGGACCTTGTGCGTTAAATCCTTTAGAGACAGTTTTTCATAGGGGTATAAAGAAGATAAATGTTTTAAAACAACTGAAACATCCCAAATTTTGTCATATTTAGGTTTGGGTCTACGCGATTCAAATACCCCTTTCATAAACCGTGTAACAATATGATTGCTACCAAAGCTTCTCCCCCCGTCTATCGTAACAATGGTAGACAAGGCAGAGCGAGCAGTATTAAGGGTTGAGTAGCTAAGCCCTTGACAAATAGCCCCGAGAGAAATTGAAGGGCATCGCTCAGTGGTGGCGTATAATGATTAATTTTCCTTTCACGACAAAATGCCATCCATTTTTTAACGTATGTGGCATGCTATTTTTTAGTGCCTGTCCTCCAAGATGCCATGAGAATGTCGGTAACCTCCTCTGGAAAGTTGTAACGGCTGAAGGATCTCCTGACACAGGACATACCATCAGATGAAGACTCCTGTTTAGTGGATGCGGGCCACTGCGAGAGGGTTGTTGTAGAAGGTCTGGTCGTGGGAGCAGAATCCAGGGCTGTTCGCACAAATGTTGTAGGAGGACTGGAAACCACGTTTGGGTTGGCCAAAGCGGGGCGATTAGTACACCCTGTGCTCGGTCTTGACTCATCTTCTGAAGGCATCTTGGGAGAAGGCTAAAAGGCGGAAAAGCATAAAATTTATGCCCATTCCAATTCATAGTAAATGCGTCTACGTGTGTACTGTTAGGGTCTGCTTGCCACGAGCAGTAACTACTGATCTGATTGTTTAAGCGGCTTGCAAACAAGTCGAAATCGAGGCCGGGGTGGCGCAACAGGATCTCGTCAAACGAGTGTGTGTTTAACATCCACTCATGATTACCTGAGAACACGCGTGATTTCTCATCAGCCCCAGTGTTCAGCCGACCGGGTATGTGGACGGCTGTGAGCCAAATATTTCGTGATATACACCATTCCCAAATTTGAACGGCTAACTGATTAAGTTCTTTGGATTTTGAGCCCCCCATGTTGTTAATGTAAGCGAGGGCTGTGGTATTGTCGATCTGAATTTGGATGTGGCAGTTGTTCATATGGCTACAAAAACGGTATTCGGTATATGGTATTCGGCTTCCGAAGGGGTCCTTTTCCCCCCCGTTTTTTGAGTGCCAAAAACAGCTCCCCAGCGCAATGTTGATGCGTCTGACTGAATTGAAGTGCTGGGGTGGGCGTGTTGGATATCTCGTTTGAGAGTTTGGGCATTATCACGCCACCACTGAAGTTCCGCTAAAGCGGGAGGGGATAATTGCATTTCCCCCCCATAATCGGCTTTGTTTGCTACGAGTGCGAGATATTTATCCCGCTCAAGATGGCGGTAGTGAAGTGGTCCGTACTGAGCACCGGGAAAATTGGACACCAGGATACCGATAACCTCTACGACCTGTCTAATTGTGGACATTTGTGTTTTTAATAGCGAAGCGCAGACAGACAGAATCCGTTGAACTTTTTCCTCCGTAAGCATAACTGTCATAGCAATAGAATCCAGTACAAACCCTAAGAAAGTTAATTTCTGAGAAGGTATGAAAACCGATTTCTCTGGATGGATATGAAACCCTAATTTGGTAAACAGCGTGATGGTGTCAGTGACATTTTTATGGCATTCCGCGGAGGTGTCGCCTTGTAGATAAGAATCGTCGATATACCCTGAATTGAGATGTCCCATGCTCCGGAGTGTGGCATACACAGGTTTCAATAGTTTAGTAAATATGCGCGGGGCACTGGCCAGTTAATGTTTACGTATTTGGATTAACAAAATGCACAGTATACTGTAAAAAATGTGCCTGTTTTTGTTCCTGTTTTTCTCTATGCTGTTACTATGCTCTTTTTTCAGATAAAAAGAATTATTTAAAGTGAAATGGTTTAACTACGTCGTTACTTTTTTTTTTTTAAATGCCAAAAATTTGGGTTGGTCGGACGACAATAAACGGAGAAAAGAAAAGAGCATGGCCTCAGAATGCGTAGATTCGAGTCGGTTGCAACTTTCACTTTCTTAGGCCCCCACGGTCAATCTATCTCGGTGACGGAGCAGTAAAATGAGGAACTTTCCGGAACTTTTCCCACCAAACGAGGGCCCAAGATACCCACTTCCATTTCGCAGAAAAAGTCTTCCAGGGGGACAATCGTCGCAATATGCAGAGTAAGTAAATATGTATGTACACTGCAACTAAGGAAATTGCAGAACGAAAACCCTAAAAAAAGTCAGGCTTTCAGCCGATAAATCCAAAGCGTTCGAGGTTGCGTGACGCGAGTTATTTGATACAGTCATCATCGATCAGTTGTAGATCGGTTCGCGTAGCGAACATTAGTTTGGTTACGTGAAGGGGGTTTAGTAAGCTAGTTTGTTTTTTTCCTTATTAGTAATTACTAAACACAGCGGACACGTAAAATGAGAAGTAACAATTAGGCAGGAGTTTATGTTTGGAACAGCCTGTAGAGCAGGCGTCTTATAGGGCGAGGTAATGTTACCTTCTCGCGATCTTTCATTCGACTGGCATGCCGGCATGGTGGATTCGGAGTTTTGAACCCCCTAGCAGATACGAGTCTAACAAAATATTTAAAGGAGGTTTAGGCCCCTGGAAGATGTAACGTCCTTTTAAATCTCCATACCCTTTCAAAAGAGGTTTCATTCCTTTGAGAACCCTTGCCTACAACAAATTCAAGTCTTTCTTCTTATTCACTTTGAAATAAGTAAATAAATGGGAATTAAGCAATGGACATTCTACTAGGTGACTCTTCTTGTCCACTGTTTCCCATTCAAATTGGAATTTGGAATGTTGGTTTTTGTGGAGGGAGGAAACCCTGAGGGCCTGGAGAAAAACTCTTGGAGTAGAGATGAGAACCAATAACAACCTAAACCCACATGACGCCAGGCTTGGGAATAAAACACAGGTCACAGTGGTGGAAGGCAAGTGCTCTCACCACTGTGCCATTTCTGTTCCCCTTAAGGTCTGTCAGTTTCCTAAAGCTCATCTCTATGTAAATTGCACATTAGTTATGAAGTCCTTAGTGTGGTGCTGGAAGAAACTGAGAATTGTCTTGGGTTACTTTATCAGTGATGATTTGTATTTAATCAATTGATGCCACTGTCAACTCTCAATTATCAGAACTCCTGGGACTGGGCTGAATACATGAAGTCTGGATAATAATATGACACCCTAAAGTGCTAATGTAAATCAGTTTGTTTCAAGCTGCCACAGCTTGTGGTCATTGATAATTCTATCATTCTTTGAAGAGGCATTAATGGTTAGGTAGATGTTTCATAGGAAAAAGTTGTTAAGGATCATGAATGTGACTAATTGATATTCATTAAAATAAGGGACCAGAGAAGTGAGTCTTGATAATTAAAAAATCTGCATTATTGAGGTCTAAATAATTGAGGTTTGGCTACACCAAAATTTTCTTTGTTTCATTAAAGAGGAATGCTCAATCATTGTTCAAAAGGGTTTGATGAATATTTCATGAAACATTTCATATACCCTTGAACCACTGACACAGCTTCTAAAGAACACACTTAATTTTAGCTTAATGTGCCAGTAGGCAAATACAAGTCAGCTGCCTCCTAATTTCTCACTCACTCAATCTCAATCACTCAATTTCATTGTGATCATCATACTAATGAAACTTCTTTCTGCAAGGTTTTAAAATATCAGTAGTGAATTTTCAGAGCCACCTTAATAATGGTTGAGTTAGATTGAAACCATCGCAACCAATTCCTCAGCAAAGAATTAAAAATAGTGGACCAAGGAGCAAAACTTTTTGGGTTCCTCAGACACTATAATTTTGACTTTTATGGCTTCTGGCTCTTGGTTAGTGGTAATGATTTGTTGAATTAAAAAGTGGAAGAGGACTCATCACCTCTCTGAATCCTGGTCCCATCTGCATTTTTCTTTCACTTGTTTCAAATAAATGAGCACTTGGAATTGGCTTGCCTGCGACCTCTTGAAATTTCAAATTTTGTCTAACAAAAATTTGTTAGGTGGTTGGTCATCTGGCAGTTGAAGTGTGTTGCTCATTGTCAATGCCTTTTGTTTCCACTCTTTTGCTTTCTCTGGGTTTCCATTTTTTTTAAACCAAAATGCCATTTGAGTCATTGCATAGATCTTCCACCTATGATTTTCAGTTAGTTTGTCTTTAGCAATTCCTAGAGATGCTTGAAATAAACTCTTTGCATCTTCCATCTGACCTTGAAATTGATAACACACTCCTAAGTTGGTAAGTGGCAGAATGCATTCTTTCTGCTCTTCAATACCAACGCTTTCCATCATTTCCAGAGCTTTTTCATAAAGTTTGATTGATTTGCATTGGTCAGTAGCTGATCCTAGACTCTTCTCACCATGGAAAAGGTGAAAATCTGCAATTTCATTCAGAAGTAGAGCAGTCATAATGTGACAGCCAAGATTTTCCTCAAAAATCTCAAATGATGCATTGAACTTTGCCTCTGCCTGATCGCGTTCATTTTGTTTCTTGTAATTTCGTCCAGCATAAAGTAAACTTATGCCTTTCTGTACAAAATCCATTGGTTTCTGTTGATCACATGCCTCCAAACTTTTAATGAATTGTTCTTTAGCTTCCAAATAGTTTTTCTCATCAGAGAGGAACCGTGCATAATTATTGCGGAAGAAAGCCTCTGACACCTTCTCATTGTCAAATTCTTCAGGGTGATTTGAGTGTAGGTCTGCAGCCTTTTCAATCGACTCCTTGTATTTATCCTTATCACCGATTTTCCTATATTCATGCCCTAGGAGGCAGAGAAGTTCCACTCTTTTAGTGACAGGTTGCTGGTGAGACATGAAAAGCTGATCAAGCTCTATAAGGTACCTCAAATAATCACCTGGTTGAATACACATTTCTAAAAATGTACATGTCTGGGAAATCTTCTTCACTAACTCCTCCATAGTTTTCTTCAGTTGAGAATCTTGTCCTTTGAAGAAGGGAAGAACCTTCCAAAATTTGTTCCTGGGCATGTTGTTCTCTTGTTCTTTGATGAAGATCGGAAAGAATTTCTCAAAGTTGTGCCTGTCCGTGTTAAAAGAGTGAATTGCCTCTTTGCACTTGTCTTTGCTCCAGTAGCATGCGGAAATGTCCACTAGCTGGGAAGTAAAGTGGGTGCAGGCCGCTTTTTCCCCTTGCAGCTTTAAGAATGAAGAATAGTTGGCTTCATCAATCTTCTTTGCAAATGTTTGAATAAATGGATGGATTTCATATCTGTAGGAGCCTCGGTCCTCAATAAGAGAGCACTTTCTCAAGGAACGGAGAATTGATCTAGGATCATGTTTACAATCACCTGCCTTAATTACAGCTTGAGCAGATATATTACTGAATGAGCCTGGAAAAACTGACAGAAGTACCAGAGCCTTTTTTTCATGTTCTTTCAAAAAGTTGAAAGAAGTTGCAATTGCTTTTTCAACAGAATTTTCATCAGTTTCATGACTTTCATCCTCTTTGAGGACATTTAATGGCTTTTTCTCAAGGCATTCAATGAGCTGATCTTCAAAATAGTCTGAAAGCAACGAACCAATGATGCATAAAGCTAGGGGTACACAACCACAAAGTTTAACTAATTCATCTGTCTTGGAGAGCCCCAGTTTCACACGTGGATCAAGGACTTTGGACAAGAGGAGTTTTTGTGCATGCTCACAGGATAATATTGTCAATCTCTCAAGTTTCATTTGTAAACTGAAGCCTAATTCAAATTCTCTTTGAGAAGTGATAACAAATGTGATCATTTTTGATAGAATCCTCATTTCCCTTAAAATGGATATAAATGCAGTTCGATCATCTGATTCAAGAACATGATCTGCATTGTCCAGAATGAAACAAACTTTCTTTTTCTGTCGTGAGCTCCAATTTCTGAGCCAATATTGCGGATCTTCTGGTGGTTGAGAGAGGTTTGCCCTGCATGAAAGGATCATTGAAGTAGCTACTTCAGCAATGGTTTCTTTAGATCTGAGTGAGCAAAACAAAACTGTCCTCTCTTCATTCCTCTTGGATTTCAATTCGTCGTACACTTCAATTGCTACAGCTGTTTTACCAAACCCGGGTCCCCCAGTTATAAGAACTGCAGCTACACTTTCAGTTCGAATTGCATCGAAGATTCTTTCCAACTCTTTGGACCGGCCAATGACCTGTGGTCCAGTTTCTTCAGTATCTGAAGGTATTTCAGAGCATCCTTCAGCTGTAATTGCATTCGTTATTTGGGAACCATCTACAAAGTAACATACAAGTTATAATAACTTTTTGGCATTTATGCTGTAACAAACTTAATGTTACAAATTGAAATCACTTCCTTAACTCAAACAACGTAATGCTCCATTAAAAAAAAGCAACAATTGCTCAGATGGGGTTCATCTAGAACGAAATCCTTGCATAACTAGACATTAAGGATAAGAAATCGATCTGCACATTAGAAGTGAGACAATGTGAACATCCAAGAGTAGGTACACCACAAGTAAGGCAGAGAATGTGAGGAACGTAGCGAAAATCTTATTTTGAACATACCTGTAGGAGAGGGAGGGAAGAAGAAGGGAAATATAGATCCGTCGTCAGCAAAATCAAGGCATCCAACCGCACTAAACTCGCCGTTTCGGTTTTCTTGACGCATGATCATAGCACAACCTTGCATACGGTTTTCGTTGCGAGTGTGTTCTGAGTGTGTCGCTGAAACGTTTTGGAAATTAATAATCTGAAAGTCTATCACATCAGAAGATTTATCCTTGTCGTCCAGGAAAACACACTTTAAATCATTCGATTCACTTTGATTCACTTTGGTCCCCTGGAATGGTCGATATGTAAAAATGCTCTCCTTCTTGGAGTATTTTTTGGAGGGTTTTACTCCAATGAAAACAAAGTTGCCAATTCGAAGGAAGTCCTTTTGATCTACGATTTTATTTAGTAGAACTATTTTCTTCTTTGAATTTAACTTTTGAAACTCCAAATGATAATTTTCCGAGAAATTCTCAGTATCGATGACTTGACTGGTTGTTATGAGACAATAATCATAGTTTCTCTTCTTTCCATTGGCTGGATCAAAAATGTCCAAATCTTTAACAAGGAAGCCAAAAGGCTGGGTTACATCTCGGCTCTGAACGGTTTCTTCCCTTCTAAT